TCCAACTCCATCTCGCTTTTCCTTTACTTGAAACTTAGTTGCCTCATTTAACACACACTTGTGAGAGTTTGTGAACACGTTTTGCAATTTAGGAATGCCAGTGAACTCTTGTAGTCTTAAAATGTATAATTTTAGTGAGTTGGTTGCCATGCTACCACCCTACCTTTTTTTGAAAAAGTTCAGCTTTGTCATTTTTGTCTATATGGTTTTGACAAATGTTGATGAGAAAAGTGTGGTAAGTTGTTCATGAATCTAGTAACGTGAATATTTGTTAATGGATAATTTGTCAATGGACTTGACATTTTCTTTAAAGCACTTTTATGTTTATATATTTAGCTATTAATATGATAGATCTGTTAAAAAAAAACGTAGTTTACAGCATAATTATCCTAAACTGCACAGGATTAAACTTGAAATCCTCAGTCATCTTATTTAGGACTTAGTGTATCTGAAAGAATGGAAAATGTTGATGGGCTTTGGGGAAACATTTTTTTTTTTTTTTCTCTTGCATTTGAAACACCAGCAGGTTGGCCTTCAGCCATCAGCTGTCTTAGTCTAAATTTTGGCAGCTTCACTCACCTCAAGTTAGATGAGAACGCTGACACAAACAGTAAGTGCATTTTAGGTACCTGAGCACACTCAAAATTATTCTGGATGGGACAGAGTCACATCTAGAGGTTTAAACTTTTTTCACTGGGATTATAGTCTTAAACTGGAGTAACCTTGTATTGCAAACAGTCCTCTTGTATGTAGCCTTTAGTTTATAGTGTCATCATGGAGCAGAAAGTAGATGAGCCCAGGAAAAGGAAGTACAGAAGAAGGAAGCTTCAGGGCCTGTGGGCAGAGAAGAGAAAAGCTGCCTGAGTGTTGATTAGAGGTGGAGACTGCAGAAAAGTGTTTTAAGTGGTTAAAAACTTGACGCTTTTGCACGGTTTTGTCTTGTTTGCTGTCTTGTGGACAAGCCAGCAATGTAGTATGAAGTAGGAGACTGTGAAAGGCTAGTGTTTCAAACACATAGAACACCTGACATTTCCTTCAGTGATGATCACAGAGGTTTTGTCCTCTGGGATTTTCCAGTATGTCTCAAAGCCTGATGTTCCTTGAATGTGCCCCTAAGTTTTTCTGAAGCCCTTCTTGTTGTGTCAGTCTGTCTATTTTTGGATGAGTAATATCTGTTTGGTTACCTCAGAAAACTAATGATTAGCTTAAACTTTTGATAAAATAGTGTCCTACTCAGACTTTTCTATACAGTACTTTCTGATCGTGTTTATTAATCCAGGTGTCACTTCAGCTGGAGCTGCGTTGTTTTGTGAGTGAGGAGAGGCCATGGCTTGGACAGGCAGGGCAGTACAGGCTGTGCAGATGCTTGATGGCATAACAAAATGTCTGCATGCTTGCTGGGCTCCTGGCAGAGGCTGTGGACCAAGGTGCTTCGTAAGAGAAGCTTATGCCCTTCATGCCATAATAACTCACCCTCAAGACTCGTACAGTTTTTCCTTGCTGCTACCAAAATAGGAGGAAAATGAAGCAGAACCTGTGTGTTGACTCCTGCTACTACCACCAAACTGACTTTAGACTACTGAAGTCCTAATATGTTGGCTATCATTTCAATAAGAGATAAATTTGGGGTCTTAAAGGAAGGAAACCACCAGTGGATGAAACTGTTTCTACAAGTGTCAATCACAGTAGGCAGCAGAAATCCATTAGATTAAGTGCCATAAATCACAGAATAATTTGGGTTGGAAAGGACCTTTAAATGTCATCTTGTCCAACCCTTTGCAATGAGCAGGGACAATACCAGTGTTTAAATCCAATGCAGAATCTAGGCCAGTTTTTATTTCAGATAGGTAAGTACATCTGCTTCCCAGAAGATTAAGCTTCAGAATTAAATCAGATTTCTCTTTTAAAATTAAGCAAAAGTCGTGACCTTTGATGAATTTACTGTTTATAGCACATAAGCTGTAATAACCAAAACTTGTCATTACAACACTGTTGGGCATATTTAAGACTGGAGATGATATGCTAAAAACTTTGTGCCCTTTGCCTCTTAGTTCTTCAGTCTACTTGTCTTTTTATAAACCAGGCTGGCTAAGATGTTTGCTCTAAAACAACAGCATGGCACTGGAATTATTTAACTCCTCTTTGTTCAGTTAGACACATTTAACATACAGAATAGAGACTTGTAAATGCTACTGTTCTGCATTAACGTTTTGCTTCATTCATATTCCTTGTGAAACAGCTGGTGAGTTTCTGTAGTCTGTCAAGTAGGTGGGAGGATCTGTCTCTTGCAGTAAGAAGTTTGACCCTTCAGAGCACAAGACCTCAGTCAGTTTCAGTAGGATTTCCAGGTTACTTCTCAGTTAGTTACTTTTCATTGTAATGATATTCCATTATAATAATATTGCAGACAATTTCCATTCTTCCCCCTACCACTGCAATGTTATTTGATGGCTTGAAGCTGTAGATCACATCCAAACTAAAGTATGCAAAAGCGTATTATATTTTTTTCAGTATCTTTGAAGCTGTAGGCCGGTTAAAAGGCACGACAACTGAAACATATGGGGACAGTTTTTACCACAACAGCTTCTTGATATGCAGATCTGTCTGGTATTCTTTGACTAATTAGATTAAACAAAGGCTTTCCTGAGATAATCACTTTGCAAGCCCTTTCCTATATTACAGGTCCCAATTTTAGTGTGTTGCTGCTGAAGGTCGAATGCCACCAGCTAATGCTCAGTATCTGAATGCATACTGTTCAAGCAGATGTATAAATTAAATTGAATGACATAATTGAGGTATGAGTGTTCTTAAGTGTTTTAATATTGATTAAGAAAATTGTGTTTCCTTGTAGGTTAGTGAAGCAAGTATTAAATGTAATCATAGGAAAAGCTTGGATAGGGATCTAAGGTATGCTAGGTCCTGTGCATCTGGGCAATAGTAATTGTGCCACCACAGGACCACTTAAAAAAACATATGCAGCTTCTAATTTGGTCAGCCCAGAATGTTCTGGTAGCATTAATAGACAAGTCATCTGTAGTCTCTTCATGCTTTGGTAAGCATCTCTCCATGCAGACTTCTGTTTAGAGCTTTTCCTTTCTCCAGTCCAACTACAGAAGTTTTTGATGTTGAACTTACAACACTGGTAAAGTTGTCTAACCTTTCTTTAATGGATTATGGGTTTGAATTAGTGTCTTTGTCTGGTAACAAAACACAGTCCCTTAGCAATAAACAGTAATTTGATTTGGGTAAGGAAGTTACTCCTCATAAGCAGCTACAATGATAAGATGTGTCAGTGAAGTTACTACAGTCAAAGAGCAGCAAGGTCTTCTCAGAGGGATTTACATAAGTATCTGAATCCTACCTGTGAGAGTATGTGCTGCTACTGAAATCTGCCCCTGCAATTCAAGTTTTTTAGTCACTTGAGTGTGACAGATAATAGCTTTTAAAGTTATTCCTAGTCTCAGTGATATTAAGAGATAAACACAATGTCAGTGATAAAGGATTACCCAAAAGTTGATGTGTCTAATGAAATATAGACATCTTAATAATTTTGTCTGCAGCTTGTTTAAGCTGGACACTAACACAAAACTTCAACTGAATTAAACTTTAAATAGGCTGGAACTTCAGCAGTGGTGTATAAATGAGTTTTAGCTTGTTTCTTGGGTTTGAAATTTGAGATATTAACAGATTGGAAGTTTGAGGTGAGTTGCTTTAAACTATAGTGCTTCAGAGCTCATGCTATTCAGTTATTTCAAATGGTTGATGCAATAATTGAGAACTGAAACACTGGTGAAAACAAAGTATTTTATTAGTTGAGACGATAAATACTATTAGGTGATCTTTGTAGCTTTAAAATGAACTTTCTTTTATGCTACTAAATTTCAGTCAATAATTTCATTATGCATCACCACTAATGTTACAAAAGTGGACTCTTGGAACTTGCTGTAACAGGAACTGATTGAAATGTTGTGAGATTTTACATCAAAACTGCATTAAGGATATTTCTTGAAGAAAGTTTCTTTGCTGATTCCTACAGAAAAATCTGTGTTAAACTACGTTCATTCTGTACCTGTATGACAAGAAGCCACTGTGCTCTCTTGAAATGCCTGGTAAAAATGGACTACTGAAGCAGATCCTGGTCTGATTTTGTGTAAAAACTGATAACGTTTAATCAAGTTTTTATGATCTGGAGCAACATTACACTTGCACAGTATTCAGAATTTGAAGTGAAGTCTTCAAATTCCTGTTCCTTTCAATTTTCCACAGTTCTTTGCTAACATGGATGTATCAAATAATTTGTATCACTACTAGAGCTGATCTGTAGAACTACATTTTTTTTCTAGTTAATGCATGCTTATTGAATTTGCCAGTGAACCCTAAGGGTCCATTGGTATGTTAGGGATTGCATTTAGAGTATATAGAAAAGAACCCCCTTCAGTATAAACTTAATGACTAATCTGGATTATTATTTATTAGTAAAAATTGATATAGATGCATGGAAAGGCTAGAACTGGAGTGCAAAACACACTGAGTTATGACTAAGCAGAGTTACTGCTCTTAAGTTTAGTTGTATATGAAAGCAAGGTGTGCCCACTCTGTGCATATATATGGAGAGAGAAAGTCTTAAAATTTTTGAGGACAAGTGAGCAGTGACTAGAGCTGTAGCTTTTCCTATCATTTTCTCTTGGATTTGGGTGTGTTTGGGCATGAAGTACAGGGCTTCTGCTGGAGGCTTGAACAGAGCTTTTCTTAATTAAGATTGAATCAAGTTTGATGTAATTGGTTGTGGGGCCTTCTGCTAGGTCTATTTTTGCCTAATTAGCAGCTGCAGCATCTTCACCATAGCTATACAAACTCATTTGCCTGATCTGCTTCTTGTTATACTGTCATAGCTTATGATCAGATGCCAGCTGATAAATCCTCCTAGGCTGCCAGCTGGACAACAACATCCAGCTTTTGGGCATTAGATAACAACGTGGTATGTCTTTAAAGAAAATTCTTTCATACATGGTTTGCATGAAATTCTTCACTTGAAGGATACTCTTTAGAGTCTTACCGAAAACTACATCCTAGCATGTAGGTTATAACACCATCATCATGGACTCTTCAACTGTTGCAACATTTTCTTACAAGTAACAGAGAAACAATCAAAATTTAAAATTAATTTTTGAATTGAGAAATTTTCTGATGTTATAGAATGTTGGAAGTTTTATGCATGTGAATATTGATTGCCTTATGCTTTTTGTCACTCTTTGGAAAACAGCCATGGACAGTGGTTTTCTCAGAATCTCCTGTGACAAGAAGAGAAGAGCAGTTGCAGTTGTAGAAGTTGTAGTTCTGCCAGAGATGGACCTGTCACTTGTGGTCAGGTGGCATCAGTTCAGGGGCTTTCAGTGGTTGTTCCCAGTGCAAACAAAGTACTGTGGCGTGGTGCTTTAAATGGTAGATTTAGTATAGCTGCATCTGATTATTTCCAGAGCAGTAATCTGAGTCTTTCCTGGAACGAGACCTTAAATTTCTGGTAATTGTGTGCTTATATATGCTTACTTCAACATAAACTCAGCAGTTCAGCCAAACAGTCCTCTAACATGGCAGAGAAGTCGCTAGAAATCTTGTTTGCTGATGCTTTGCCTTCGTATTTTTGCCTTTAATAGGCATATGACACCTGAGGATCTTGTTGACCTGAAAGTGTCCAAGTTATTGTTCCTCTGAGCCTGGCAGTTATGTTTTGTGAGGGAATATGTTGTTACATATCCTCATTGCACTCCATTATGCCAATAAAGCTGACTTACATGATCAGACATCTGGTTTTGGCACACAGCAAATCTTCACGCAGGCATGAGGAGTCTGTGTGTGCACTGTTGTGTAGCTACATGTGTACATGCAAGATGTGTCAGCTGAGCAGGGATTAGATATAGAATGCCTGTGCAAGTTCAGAGTCCTGTGGCTAGATGATAATTTCTCAGCTACAATGCATTGATCATCAGACGGAAGAACTGCTCTCAGTCTCCTCATCCCTTCTGTAGAGAGGTGGTATTGTGCCATTTTCCCCTCTCTTCAAAGAATTAGATGGAGATACTGTGCAAGGCTTGAGTTGTGATGAAGTGGCTGGAGGAGGGTTGAAACGGTATGGACGTGAAAAATGTATTATGAGCTAGGTCTGCCTGAAGATATAATCCTACTTAGAATACAAAAGTACTTCATGTGTGGGCTAGCTTAGTGTTGAAGTGGTTTTTCTTGAATTATTTTCTTTTCCCATTTCTGATTCATGGGAACACAAGAAAGCTTGCTCTTCCCAAACTCTGAGGTAAGAGCATTGGTTGGAAAGTGGGGATTTTTAACGAGCATGTTCTTTCCCCATGTGACATCACTTGTGGACGCTACAAGCTCCATTTCCCTGGAAACAGATTTAATTTTAGGTATTTTTAAAGGTTGCTGCTTGATGATGAACCATATGGACATATGAAGGAAAATGCCAGTGTTAAAGGCAACAGTTGTTACAAAGCTAATGATTTAAGGAAATCCAATTATGCAAGGTTGTTTTGAGATGAGAAACATCCATTTTCTTCCTTATTGCTCTTGCCCGTGGAATGAAAAATAAAAATATTATAGGAAATTTAAAAAGAAATTTGTTCTGTAACCTCAGTACAAAGATTAAGGGCTGTCTTACAATGCATTTCAGTATAGCTATTATGTAACTGAATGTGTATTTATTCTCTCCCTAGACTGTACATGCCTTTTGGCTTTGGGGAACAGAACTCGCCATGGGACAACCTCAAAGATATCTCTCCAGACGGGCTCTCTTGCTTGGCTGATGTGTCTGCTCTCCTGACTGTCTTCATACCCAAAGGATTTATTTTCCTTTTGGAAATATTTTAAGTTGAAATTTTGTTCCTCACTGGAAACTGTCTACGCTAAAGACTGCATGCATCATGGGTGACATGGCAAACAACTCGGTTGCATATAGCAGCGTAAAAAATGCTGTAAAAGAAGCTAATCATGGAGATTTTGGAGTTACTCTTGCAGAGCTCCGTTCTCTTATGGAACTTCGAGCTGCAGATGCACTGCATAAAATACAGGAATGCTATGGTGATGTACATGGCATCTGTACAAAGTTGAAAACTTCACCAAATGAAGGTAAGTAAATTTTAACACTTATTGAGGAAACTCAATTTAGGTAAAGCCTTAGTCAGCAAACTGGTTTTTTTAATAGAATGAAGTTTGTAAAAGCATTTTAGTTACCACAACAAAATATTGCTTCTTGTTCCTTTAAGATGGAAGTATTCCATGGTAATAAATAAGCAAGATTTTTTTTCTGTTGGTCTAACTGCATGTGAGATGTTGCATTAACGAAGTTGCACTTGGAACAAAGTTCATTGGTGTAGACATCTGTTGTGTACAGCTATGCAACATGGCAGTGTTCAAAGTGAAAGTATCAGTTTTCTGAATAGTTCATATGACCTATAGTTTACAATTCAGATCATGCTCTTATAGAGCCCAGGGTTTTAATAATCTAATGCAGGGCTTATTAATCCTTCTGTGTGGCTACCTAGTTCTTGGATTTCCTAATGCAGCAATTTTTAAAACTGATTACATGTTTTCTGTTTGTGCTATGTTGAATTCTTAATAGCAGTAGCTAGGTTTTAAATCTGCAGTATTTCTGTAGATTTCATTTGAGCTAGGCAAAATAACTATCAATATAACTTGAAGCATTGAGGTGTACTCTTAGAAGAAGGTTTGCAAAGTGATTGCATGATCTTATTCCCTAGAAATAAGCATCTCTTCTGGAGTTTTTACCATATTGGACTTAGTGGCATTCTGTAAAGTGTAGCTGCATGATGCTTTTGATATCTAGAGTTATTACACCAAAATAATCTGTACAAATGTGAAGAAATAAGTAAATATTCATTAAGTGTCCTTTGTGAGAACATTCCAGAAGTTCTCCTTAAGACCTGGCTGTTTCTTACTGCTTTCTTCCAATGTAAATGGAAACTATTAAGTGTATTTGTGTAAGAGGAAAGTCATACTGCATAAGGTACTGTAGTATCTACATACCGTAGTACTTGCAATAAACTGTACTTCAATAAAAATATGTAAAAACATTAGCTGAAACTTATTGTGAAGTCCTGCTGTTGAGAGCAATTGAGAAGTACCAAAATCAAGATTTTGGCAAATTGTAGTGTCTCTGCATTTAAGGACTCACATAGATTTTAACCAATGTGGTGTCATGTTGGTGGCAGTAAAGTACCTGCTGTCTTAATCCTGGAGAGCCGTTGCTTTCTGTTCTTCAGAAATGCTATGGAAAGATTTGCCTTCTTGGACCAAGAGCAGCCTACTAATGCCGTAAGGTACCTCTGGGTACATCTGCATTTAGCATGTTTTGGCTTGATCTGCTTTTGAAGCCAGACTCCTGAAATTATCAGTACATGAACTGGGTTCCTCTTACCAAACTGAAAGCAGCCAGCTGACATGGCTGAACTGCCAGTGAATGGGAGTAGACCAATTTCAGGATGAAGAAGTTTGTAAAACATGAGGAGTACAAACTTCTGTTCCTTGGCAATTGTAGAGTAGTACAGTGCATGTGTGTGAAGCACTGTAGTGTATAAGCAGTGTAGCACATCTCAGGAGCAATAGGCTCTCATTACTCTGTTGACCTGTTGCATAGTATTGGAAGGCAGTTTCCTTTCTCAGTGAAAAGGTATATAGTTTTCTCTATTTTGGAATTGAATGGAGAGTTGAATTCTGTTGTACAGTTATCTGCAAGGCTAAAGGTCCATTATTACTGCAAGCTAGGTGGACATACAATTTTATATAGCCATGATGCATTAAGCACCTGGTATACTGCAGGATTCACTTTGTTTTCTTGATGTAACAAACATGCAGGTTAACACATGGGAGTGATAAGTGTCAGCATACTAAAACTCAAGGGCTGGGTGTCCTTTCTTGCAATTGATTGTGCTGTACTTGTGTGATCAAGGCCTTTCACTTTCAAAAGGATTTGACATTTAGATGTACACTGCAATCAGTTACATGCAGTTGCTGACTTAATAAAAAGGCATCATCCTTTTTTAAGTGTGAGAGAAGCTCATAAACACGCCAAAGACTCAACAGCTGAACGTGTTAACAGGCTCAGAAAAGGTTAATTAAGATGAGTTAGAACGGTGTTCCACAGAGGTGTCATTTTGGCTCTAAACCACAACATGAAATTTTAAGAGAATCCACCTCTGTCAGGTAACCTGCTATAAACTTTCTGGAGGTAGTACTGGAGAGCTCTTGTAAAGGTAGAACTAGGTCACTTTTGTCAAATGCTAATTGTAAGTATAGAAAGGGAGACAGTACTAATGGAAAAAAGTCTAGGGAAGATCTTCCAGAAAACTTGTGTTATGCTAATACTAGCTCTCTAAAACCTTGTGTGTATACCTGCAAGGCCCTATGACACTTTTTCCTAATCAGGTGCTTTCTTTATGACATGACACTCTTACCACTATGTAATTACCAAAGGCTTCACAGGAAAAGTACAGGTAGTTCTGACATGGTACACAGTGGATGAGTTCAGCTTGTTCCATTTCTTGCTGTGAAGTTGTTGACAATGTAAGACAACGTCTGTTTTCAGGCAAAATTTGGATCAAGCTTATCTGATTTGAAGTGAGAAATGGGAACAGTCCTTTACCAGTATTATTTAAAAAAAAAGAAGAAGACACTGAGCAGACTTTATTGCTTACATGTAAACAAATGTGCAAAATGAATGTTTGCAATATCTTTAGTAGCAAAAGTCTGTCCTATATTCAGGACAGATATAGATATTTCTAATAAAATTCGAATATGAAACATTAACTAGTCCCTTGGACAATATTTTTCAAACTTAACCCCATATAACATAAATTAAGGGTAATTTATGTTAAGACACATACTTAAGAATATAATGGCAGTAGTTTTGACCTCAGGACTGTAGATTGTGAACTATGAAATTGCCAGCTGTGTGGTAAACCTAGGAAGTTCAGTAATGGTGCATGGTGTATTATAGTTTATACTAAAAATAAAAATGGCTTTTGTCTTTGCTAGGCTTATTTACTAATCTTCACTAAGTGATTCTGGTAGTAGTTTGACTTTATAGCCTCATTTGGAAACACTTTTCATTCTTCAAACACCTTTGTTATATATTTCTGATGTTCTCCACTGTGGTACCCTGCAAAGGGAGGAAGAGAGTGATATTGCTAACATTATGTATATAAATTTCCAAACTCTGCCATGTAAAAGGAATAGAGAGGTATAATCTTCTGAAAAATAGCAATATGGCCCAGCCTTTTGGAATTACCACAATGTCCTGAGTTTCTGTAGGCCCTGTAATGTATAGCTTGATTTTGAAAATAGTCTTGCAGTGCTCCTTGAATTGAGAGTGAAAGTAAGCACCTTAAAGCTTGAACTGCAAGAAGTGTAAGGTTATGGCTAATGAGTACAATTGCTCCTTTGTATTAAGCATTCAAGGACATGAATTAAAGGTGAATCGAAGACTGTTTGAATAAATGTAATTTTTCATATACACAGAGTATGTTTAATTCATTTCACTTTTGAAGAGATCTGCACATAGTTTGCTTTTCAGTTAAGTGATTCCATAGCACTTGTTAGCATTTAAAACTGAGCTTTGCAGTTCAGTAGCCTTTTGAAAGTGTCTTGAAATATGTGATGATTCTAGGAAATGTCCGTTAGAGGTGTTAAATACCCCCTTAATATGAAAGCCAGCTGCAGTGGCTACTGTTCTTATTTATTACCTAGTATGTTTGCAAAGCCTTTATCACTAAGCAGTTCGGTTAGCAACAAAAAAAATTGCTACTAAGAAAGTAGTTATCTAAGCTGGTGCTGATCATAACCTTGGGGTCAATATGGTGGAAGTATCCAGACCTTTGCTCTGAACATGCCTTGAAGTTTGGCAATTTTGATTTGAAAAATCAGCTAGTAGCTTAATTCTGAATGGTGGGTTCGTCAGCTGGAAACTTTTAGAGAAGTAGCCAGGTGGTGTGCTCACAGAAAACCTTGAGTGCATGACCTTGCACTGAAAACACTTGGTATTCCTTTATTTTTAAGGTCATGGCAAGCTCTTGAAACATGCTGTAGCCTTTTGTGTAGGCCCCTCTCTCTTGTCTGCTACTGTCCCTTAAGAATGGTACAAGAACTGAGACAGAGGAGGACTCAAATATGCCATATAAGAAAGCAGCTAGATACAAAACTGAGGTGACAGACGTGGCACAGTGCTAAACATGGGCCCTCTCTGTGTGAGAAGCGATAAAAAGAAAGTGAAGCTTCAGAAGAGCAAATAACTACCACCACTCCAGGTGGAAGCAGCATCATAATTTTTTCCACATGATGCCTGCAGACCATCAACAACTTTTAATAGTATTTTATATAATAATTAATATTGAAATACAATAATTATAATAGTTATATTTTTAATTATAATAAACATCTCATTATAAATGTTACATTACTTTTAGGATCCTAGGATGTTGTCTCTGAATACAGAATCCCTACACTGGGAACCAGAGCTGCCTTCAAGGGCTGTGGTCTTGCTAAAGCTTTATGGTGCTACTCAGTCTCAATAGTAGTAACTCTACTAATGATCTTGTCTTGCAAACTTGTTTACTTTGAACGAAGGTATGTGTGTTATTATTACTCTGTTCCTATGTCATATTAAGTGACATATTAAGCAGGTAGACCATCAACTTTATTTTGGTAAGGTGAGAATTGTAAAATATAGCTGGCTTTCTATAGTGACTCTGATTTAAGGGTATTACTTATGTAATTATGTTTGAGATGTGGCTTTTTTGGTATTTTACTGAAATATGGAGTGGGACTTGATTCCATGTGTGGGAAACTTCAGCCACTTCATAATGTGAGAGTGAAATGTATGTAAGTGTCACTAACTTTATCTTATTGTTAAATAGGTTTAAGTGGCAATCCAGCAGATATAGAAAGGAGAGAAGCAGTTTTTGGAAAGAACTTTATACCTCCTAAAAAGCCAAAAACATTTCTTCAGTTAGTATGGGAAGCACTACAGGACGTTACGCTAATTATATTAGAAATTGCAGCTGTAGTATCCTTGGGCCTTTCTTTTTACCAGCCTCCAGGAGGAAACGAATCATGTAAGTAAACTTCTTAAAAAGTAGGTATCTACTTTTATTATACTACAGACTTTCCTGGTTCAACATGCCTATACTGTAAATCTGATGGGAGACAGTAAGTCAGTGGAAAAGCAGCTTATTGTTCCTTATTGAGAGCACTTTACTAAAACTCTAGCTTGCCTTAAAAGGGCAACATGAGATTTCCTTGGTCATGATTTGGTATTATTCTGACCAAAGGTAAATTGCAGGCAGCAGGAACAAGGACTTGTTTGAAATCCAGTCTCTGTGGGATTTTTTTAGCTTTGCGTCAAATATTTAAGCAATTTATAATTTGCAGTCATGGGCTTTCTTTGGGGAGTCAGCAAGTCTTAAATTTTCCTTGATTTGTGATATGATGCTTGTAACTTTATAATTTAAGAAATGAAGATATATTTATACTTCTACACAGAAAATAAGGGGATTGGGATTTCATTTAACTTAATTTTTGCAGTGATATCTGGTTTTTTAAGACAAATGTAAAGTGGGATTTGTTGACAAAGCAGAATGTTTACCAGTCTGGTGTTCTTATGCCATCATTTAACAAAATAAGGACAGGTAACTTTCTCTATATCAATTTCTCTTGTGTTCTGATAAGCAGGGTGCTTTAATTTCCTCAAGTTGCTCTAGCTTTCAGGTTCTTTAGCTTCTTTTGTGTTACCCTTATGGAAATAAAGGTAAAATTGCAAAGAAAGCTAGCATGGAAAATGTTTAGCAACTATTAAGTTTTTTGTTTGCCAAAACTTTCATTGTTGAAATATCTTTGTGAGCTCTCTTAAATCTAAAACCTGTTTTCTGCAGTATGTGGATCAGTAAATGTTGGTGAAGAAGAAGAGGAATCTGAAGCAGGTTGGATTGAAGGAGCAGCAATCCTTCTATCTGTAGTTTGTGTGGTATTAGTAACAGCTTTCAATGACTGGAGTAAAGAGAAACAATTTCGGGGATTGCAGAGCCGTATTGAACAAGAACAGAAATTCACAGTCATCAGAGGTGGCCAAGTCATCCAAATACCAGTAGCTGACATAATTGTTGGAGATATTGCACAAGTGAAATATGGTAAACATATTTTTAAAGTGGAACTTTCTTTTGCTTTTAAAAAAGGAACTGCAGTCAACAAACCCAGTGATCTCTCGTAGGTGACCTTTTACCGGCTGATGGTGTTCTCATTCAAGGAAATGACCTCAAAATTGATGAAAGCTCGCTGACTGGGGAATCTGATCATGTTAAGAAATCTCTGGACAGAGATCCTATGCTGCTGTCAGGTGTGTAGCATTTGACAATTTTTGAATAAAGTAGTTTGTTTCTGCAGTAAGCTGGTTATTTAAAATTTCAAGGTTAAAGCTAGCAAATTGGTTTTTTATCTTGGTTGACTCCTAGAACTATCCCAAACCAGTCCAACAAGTACAAAACTTTGTTGGAGTGTTCTGACCTATAAAACTGACAAAGCATTTTGTATAGTTGTTTATGGGTTTACTTTCCAGATAGCTCTGGCAGGTAAAGCTTTAGGGAAGTACAGTGGTACATATACACAGCTCACCGTTTCAGCAAAGTCAAGTTTAAAAGCTTATTTCTTCAATGTCTTTTTGTGCTTTGCCATATAACTGCTCGAGTCTCAGTAGAAAACCCAATTCAATCTTTCAGGTACACATGTGATGGAAGGCTCTGGAAGAATGGTGGTTACTGCTGTAGGTGTGAACTCTCAGACTGGAATCATCTTTACCTTACTTGGGGCTGGAGGAGATGAAGAGGAGAAGGAGAAGGAAAAAGAAAAGAAGGAAAAGAAAAGTAGGCATATTAATCTTAAATACCTTGGTGGTGGAGTGGGAATGGCGGTGGTGGTGAACTTTTGAATATTACTGGATAAAAACATGTTCCAGTCATCCAAAGCCAGAAAGCTTTTTAAAAAACTCATACCTTCTGTAGGTTTCACAGGAAAAAGCTTAGGTCCAGTGACCTGAGAGTGCACCACTAGTAATAACTCTTACATGGAATTTAGTTAAATTTCAGATCTCATTGATCAGTCAGAGTTTGGAAAATTTTCAATTCCTAATCAGCCATACATACTACGTATAAATAGTTAAACTCTCATCTTGTGTAACTTGTTTATGTAAAACAGGTTATTATGAAGTTCAACCTAGTAAGTATCTAGCTCTGCATGTGACAGATAGAAAATGCTCTTTATAACGAGTTCTATAACATTTGAAGGGAAGAAGCTTAGGTTTTTCATACTGCTGAGCTTGTGGATGGATAACTTAAACACGTATGACTGATTTGGATAAAAAATGAGCAGACATTTTCTGTGGCATTTTGAGTGGCATTTCTGCCACTCCTTTTCTTCAGAGCTGAAATTTTGAATGCTCAGATATACGCAAGGCAAATTCCTTACGGTACTTTCCTGTAACTTAGTTTTCGGAAGGAAGAGGGGCTTGTTGTAACTGAGCATATTTTGGAGCCCTTCTGTGAAGATGAAATGAGCTGTCTTCTTTATTGTGAGGTCACTTATCTAATCTTAGCCTTTATCCCAAGAATCAAAGCATAGGAATGTTAAACAGTAATGTTTTGATAGTGCTGCTCACACAAGGCATGTTCGGTACTGAGCTTCATGGTGAAAATTTTTCATTAAATCCTTATGAAGTCTTCTGGGTGGGACTAAATCTGGGGCTTCTTGGCACTAGAACCAAAAATTAAATTATAATCCAAAGTATACTATTTTTTATCAGAGGGATACAAGACAATAAAGGAAAATTCACACAGAAATGTGTTTAAGAATCTCAGAGATTCTTCAAACTTAAGATTCTAAGATTCTTCAAACTCAATAGGCAATTGCTAAATGTGTTCTGTGTGCAGGAATTGGGATTGAAGTTTTTTTGTCTTTTCCTAACCCACAAATACTTTACAATTCTGACCCTTCTTGAAACTTGGAAAAAACCAAACAAACTGGAGTTTCTTTACAAGTTATAAAAATTGTTACAAGAAGAATTGAAAGTTCTAAGTTAGTTTCAAGCTCCAGCATGATAGTGAAAAGTAAAAGCTGACCTCCAACACTCACAGTAATTAGTGTGAAACAGTTGCCATCCTGTACTCTTCGTCTTACAGAGGAAGGAGAAAGAAACAAACAACAGTACCAGCTGCTGCAGGAGATATGGAGGGGATTAAAGCTTTTATTAATATTCTGCCAGTGTTTATTATTCTAAAAGCAGAAGTCTCTTTGACAAGTAGTGTTTTGGCGTATCCCAGGACCCGAACACTTGTGGGGTTTTAGACAGCTTCCTCTTTCCCTTAAGTTCGGTGCCTAATAAGATTCTCCTTGATAAAACTCAGGTTAAACTAAATTAACTTCTCTGTGAATGTTAAGGAGATTAAAGGGACTATATTTAACTGGCTGTATATGGCACAGTTCAGAGTGAAAGCAAATGTAAGTACAAGGAGTTACAAGTGACTCAAATGTAGAACTTTGCTCTTGAAAGAGGAAGTGGGGAACTAGGGGAGAGCAAATACAAAATTAGGAAACAACGATGAGTTCTTAAGAAGTCTGAGATGGCATCTTCTGGAGAAAGTGAACATGCTTTTTTTTTCTTTGTTTTTTGGTTTTTTTTTGTTTTTGTTCAGCTTTGTGAGAATGCTGGGAGAAATCTTATGTATAGAAATCAGACTAGAGTAATGGTGTAGTGGAGGTATTAAATGTCATGCCAGACAGGCTGCTTGATAATTTGATTTTCTTCTACCTGAGTACTCTTGTAAATTTCAGTCTACAAAAGCTAAGAACAAAGACTTAGTGAATTACCAGTAATACTGAAAATGTTTGGGTTATGTTCTAAGTTCCTCAATTTTGTGCTTTTATTTCAAGTTATCACAAACAATAATTATAACCCTTGCTATCTCTGCTTAGAAATAAGGTTTGTCACATAAGCCCCCAAAAATAACACACGATGTGTTGGTCTTCCAATTACCTTTAATATTTCACTTGTTAAATTATTTAATTATTTCATTGTCCTTCTTTATGATGTCTTGTTGAGCCCTATTTCTGAATACAGGTAGGAGTGATATTTTATTATGAACTTGGGCTATTCTCACAGTGATGTATGGTATGTTGCCTACAGATTATGCTTATGATTGTGTAAATAGGGTTAGCATAGATCCAGTAACCCAGTGCTGTACCTCTGCTAAGCTTTCCTGTGGATTTATGAATATTTTATACCATAGTAGCTTCTGCAATGTTGTACAAAAGCACTGATTCTCAAAGTGAGACCCTGCAGTTTATACAGGTGGCAAGTACTGGAAAAACACAGCAAGACGGAGGCCACCAGAATCACTTTAATTGTCACAAATATCTTCCCTAGAAAAACGTGTCAGGAAGTCTTTCGTAAAGCTTTCCTCATAAGTGTCAGTATCAGAAATTTGTGCAAACTTAACCATAGTAGATTAACAATGCAGCAATCCTGTATGGGAAAAGTAAAGTCCAAAAAGTGTCATGAACGCTTTCTGTGAGCTGACTTATATGTGTTACTTTTTCTTTAAGTGTGATTTCTTGTTTTATAAGGTACTTATTATATACAAACTTAAATAAAATAATGAATTCTGCACAGCCAGCTTAAAACACGTTTCTTTCTCTGACAGGTAAAAAGCAAGATGGAGCTGTTGAAAACCGTAACAAAGGTAAATGCAGGTTCTCTGATTTTTTTGCAAGTCTCTGTTTTCTAAGAGCAAAGACTTTCCAATAAAAATGCATATTGAATCCTTAGATCCAAAGTGCTTATGGTAAAGATGGCATAAGTGAATCTTCCCAAAACAAATGCTTCACTGAGCCTGATATTCTATCACCTATACACAATACACTTCTTTAAACATTCATGTGTAGTATGGCCTCTCTGGACACAAGATAATACTCAGTGCTATTTTATTTAGTGGAGCTGGGTATTAAGCTTTTTAAGTATCCTTGATTTGGGAGACTCACCTAAAGGATTTAGACAAACTAAATTTTTCTTTGATCTTAACTTCTAGCTAAAGCTCAGGATGGTGCAGCCATGGAAATGCAACCACTGAAGAGTGAGGATGGTGGAGATGGAGATGAGAAAGACAAGAAGAAAGCAAACTTGCCAAAGAAGGAAAAGTCAGTTCTTCAAGGCAAACTCACAAAGCTCGCAGTTCAGATTGGCAAAGCAGGTACTATGTCTCAGTACTCTCCTTGTGTTGATGTCACGTTAAAAACAGTTGGAACACGCATAGTTTGTGAGGAGATAAAATAGTCCAACCACTCAAGGCTGGCTACTTAAGTCAAAATTCTAATGCATGTAAATATGCTGTTGTGCCTGAGTATTCTGATGGCCTCTCAGGCTATGTCATGTGGATGGCTTTTATTTTTTCTTAATTTAAATAGATTCAGGCTTTCAAGTGCCAGGTTCTAGGAGGGAAAATTCCAGCTTCATAACATTGGACAGTGGTTACAAAAAATCTTTTTATGTTAGATATAGCATTTAGCAATGTACCAAGAGAGCTGTAAGTTGAGTGAAGTCTGAAAAATGTGGTACAGTCAACGAGGTTATCTCTAGTACTCTCAGAGGCTTAGAATTTTGCACTTAACATTTGCCTTGCTGATACATAACATTTGTATTGACTTCCTACTTTTCTATCAGCTAATAATCAGCTCCCCTGTCAAAATATTTGGTAGATTGTTGCCACTTAAAAGTAGGCTAAAACAACAGTGAAGTTCAGTATAAAATTTAGGCAATGTTACGTAGTGTGTAGTGGTTTAATTCAAATATTTCAGGATTTATTTTGGTCCATATAGAATTGTTAAACGGTTCAGTCTGGAAGGAATTTCAAGAAGACTTGTAGCCCAGCCCACAGCTCAAGGGCTGCCTTTAGCATTTGCGTATTAGACAGTTACAGCCTGAAATGGAGCAATGAAATTTTTAGCTGTAACACTCTGCAGTTGTGTATGGCAATCTTAATTTTTCAGTGAGATTAACAAATTCCATTATTAGCTTCCTGTATACTACTGTCCTTGTCAAAGTTTTTTTTTTTTCCATATCTTCCAAGAAGGTCTTGTTTTCCTCTATGTACCTTTTGACCTATTGTAGTTCCCCACACAGCCTTAATACTCATCTACTTCATGCATGGATTTTCCTGTCCTCCTGCTTTGAGACCACACTGAAGCACTCTACTGAATCAATCAGCAACAAAATAATATTGGTGAAGGCCTCCTGAATTTTTTCACTTCTTGTTCTGCTTAGTCAGTTGACTTTACATATTGGTCTCTCCTGTTACTAATTAGCTCCATGCTTTTCAATTAAATTGGAGAAGAAAAGATTTTTAGGATTTCTAGGTGAAATGCATGAGGAAATACTTGCATTGGATGCTGGAACACCTCTGAGAGCTACCTCAATATTTTGACTTGCCTGTTTGAAACCTTAGTTCTAAATTAGCTTGTCTAAAGGTAGAAGTATTTGCATGTATCCATAATCTGTATTGCCAAATTTTTGACATAGTTTCTTAAAACTGTTTATTCTCTTTTTAACAAGGTTTGTTGATGTCTGCAATCACAGTCATTATCCTTGTGTTATATTTTGTAATTGATACCTTCTGGGTTCAGAAGAGACCTTGGCTTGCTGAATGTACCCCAATTTATATTCAGTATTTTGTGAAGTTCTTCATTATTGGAGTTACAGTCTTGGTGGTGGCAGTACCAGAAGGTCTTCCACTTGCAGTCACTATATCTCTGGCTTACTCTGTTAAGGTAAGTGGGTAGAGGGCAAATAGATTTTTGAAGGTAGGCGGGTGTATTGTACTCAGTATCTGTTAAATGCAAATTTAATTATGCTTCATCTCAGATTTTATATATATATATATATATATATATATATATATATATATATATAAAAAAAATATACACATCATACTGGGAAGAAGCTTTTTTTGTTTTTTGAACTGCATAAGAATTCTCCTGCAGTACTTTTCTTCGTCTTTGAATGAATACACACTGACCACAACAGCATTGCCAGCCTGTTGTCACCAGCTAAAGATAAATGGGTTCAGTATGTAGCATTGTAGCATTTGCTTACAGTAAACAGATGTCTTAGAGTTTGTAAATATCAAACTTTTATGTAAATCTGAACTTCTACCTAGCTGATGTTGTTAAACAACTGCTATGAAAGCTTCCAGATTGAACTTTTTTCTACGACTGAATGTAAAGTCAGTGTAAAGTGTAAAGCATTTTGTTTTCTGCTTATTGTACAGCATGTTTTTTAACTTAAGCTCTTTGTGTTGTTAATTTTCTTACTGTATCAGCATGCTAAGACTGATTATTTAAAATCTAATTTTAAAGATGATGGGTGCTTAGGCTGTGTTCTAGATTAATGACTTATGGCATTTACTAGTAGTAGCCTTGTATCATTTGAAATTCATCTTCCTCTTAGAGATGAAAATATTATATTGCCTGTTAAGGAAAGAATTTAAAGCAATATTTAATCTATGAAACTCATGTAACCCTCACTGTTTTAGCTGAAACATTAGGCTCCCACTTTGTATTTGCTTCTGAGTCTGAATCAAGGATCTCTGAAATCTGTATTATCTGATCTTTCGATAGGTCAAATAAGCTGCATTAGACTTTCCTTGTAAGCAGAAACACTTTTTAAACATTGTATCTGGTAAAACTCAAACCTTACCTCTTCTCCATTTCTAAATATCATCATAAACTTGTTTGCTCCTAAAAGTGTGAATAGTATCAATAGTCAGTGTGACATGCAGACACAGGAGATTAAGACTGTATTTATGTACCTTGTTCAAAATGAAGTTTACTGCAACGCAGTAGACTTAGGGGAATCTGTACAGAAAGTGGCAGATGCTAGTTCTTCCTCTGAAATTTGCCAGATGACTTAATGACTGAGTGTTTTCTAAAAGTGCTGTGTAAGACTGGCCCCATAAATGAGAATTTCTGAAGTGAGGTAATGGTCATGGATTGCTATTAACTGCTTCTATTTCCTTAGAAAATGATGAAAGATAATAACTTGGTGAGACATCTGGATGCATGTGAAACTATGGGCAATGCAACAGCTATTTGCTCAGATAAAACGGGAACATTGACCATGAACAGAATGACAGTGGTCCAAGCCTACATCAATGAAAAACATTATAAAAAAATTCCAGAACCAGAAGCTATTCCAGAGAAGACTATGGCTTATCTTGTGACAGGAATTTCTGTTAATTGTGCTTATACTTCCAAAATACTGGTAAGTGGATTTCTTCATTCCAGTCAAGATAATTGAGTAACTTCTGCAAAAGGTGCAGATTGTCTGATGGCCACAGGCAGTTTCAGTGTAAATGTGTGCACAATGCAGGATAAGGTATTTTGTACCTGCTGTAAATTGCTCAACCATTCATTTTAAACTCAGTGGGGAGAAAAAGCTTATTTCAGTTAGAACTGATAATTCAAAGACAAAATCTCAAGATGATTTCCTTTCAAGTGCACAGTTGTTTGTTTTAATAAGTGGGGCTGTTTACCCCACTTGAAGAGCGTCTTGGCTGGATTTGAGAGCTACTTAAAAATAAGCATTAAACAATTAGTATTTAAGAGCAATACATTAAATAAAATATAATGAAAAAATGTAATTACAGTCAAGGATTTTAATATATTATTTTTCCAGATACTGCTGTATAAGTTTATAATCTTTAGAATTGTAACATATTTGTGAAAATCTTTTTTGAAACTTGCAAAATGTTTTGAAATGAAAGTGTAATGGACTGTTACACATTTTAAATAGTGGGCTATTTAACATCTTGTGTGCATTATTTGCTAAAACTCTAAACATGGCTTCCTTGCTGTAGTTATTCCAACATGTTGTATTAACTTCCATTATTTAGGCAGTAGAAATAATAAGTAGGACTTAGTAAATGAATTAGCATTTCAAGAATTTGTAGAAGCCTCCACTATGAATGCTTTGTATACAAATAGCAGTGAAAACTCAGTTCAAAAGCTACTTATCAGCCAATAAAAATTGTATGACTGCAAGAATTCCACAATAGCAGTGCTGGACAGCACTGATTTATCTGAAAGAAGATGGAAATACTGTCATGAGTTACAGCATGTGAAGAGCTTCACAGTCTGTTTTCTAAGGCTCTTTATATATCAAGAAAAAGGTAGCTGTATGTAAGCTGACCAAATCCCTTATTACTACAATTTTAACTGAATTACATCCACTGCAGTAGATTTAGTCTGCTTTACAGAATCCGAGAGGGCCAAAAGTGACCTCTAGAGAGAACCTCTGATCCATTCCTCTGGATCAAAGCAGAATCAGCCAGAGCACATTGCACAGGGCACCCAGTCAGGATTTAAGAATCTCAAAGGATGGAGACTTTGCAACCTTTGGGCAGCCTGATCAAGTATTTGATCACCCTTAAAAGGTGTTTCCTTATCTTCAAAGGGAGTTTCAGAAGCTTCAGTTTGTATCCATTGCCTGTTGTCCTCTCACTGGACACCACTAGAAAGTCTGGCTAGACAGGCCTTGTTCCAACCAACTGCCTTACTCAGGCATTTAATACACGCCAAAAATTTCTCTCCCAGTGCTGTCTTCTGACTGAACAATCCCAGCTCTTTCAGCTCATCCTCATGTATCAGGTGCTTGAGTCTCTGTTATCTTTGTGTGCCAGGGAGGATGCTCTTACTCCTGGATGCTGATATCTCTCATACTGGGGCACCCAGAACTCGATGCCTTAAACTGCACGTTAAAGTGAATGTTTTAAAAGTGCAAGTATTCACTACAGACAAATTCTAAATCTTGCAGCTCTGAACAATGAAAATGGACCACTGAGTTATGATTAATGTAGTTCAGCACTAGCACCTGAGATATGTCAGATTGAGTAAGTCCTTCTCCCTATTTTGCTGCAAAAAAACCCTGCAGTGTTATAGGTATATAAGCTCAAATATTTTGAGAGAAATACTTATACAACTAGTATGTGCATATCCCACATTGTTGAGATAAGAAACTTTTTCTCATCTTAAAGAATTGGAAACTTGCTTCTGAGCTCTTTCCAGTTAAATAGGCCATGGCCTGGAAAACAGAACTTGTAGTGAGACTTAAGAAGCTTAAAGACTTAGTTTGTTCAAAAGAAGACTAACAGGTGATGTGGTCATAGTCTAAGTCATTGAAGAATTATTACAGGAACAGATACTTTAATTTAGCAGAAATAATGCCATTTAGCTTGCTAAAGTCAGTATATGTGAACTTATCTGTACTTTTAAAATCCAAAATAATTGTTCAAGGTCTACACTCAATTGATCAGATAAATATTTAAAGTAATGGCAAATGTCTTTTAGAAAGGTCTTGTTGGGATTGATACAAACTTAATGGGTGATTTCTGAAGGATTGAAAGATCCTAAATAGGTGCAGAAGTTATTTTAAAAAAGCAGCAGTATGAATTTGGATCATGACTCATAGGAATTTATAAAGTAATTACTGAAAAAAGGAAACCTTCCCCTCCTAGAACTAAGCTTGTCCTTCCTTGTTTCCTAAGTGCTGTGCTTCAGTGGTTTATAAGTTAACCTAATCAGTGATGGTTCTTATTCTTCTTGCAGCCTCCTGAAAAAGAAGGTGGCCTACCACGTCATGTTGGAAATAAAACTGAATGTGCCTTGCTGGGATTGCTCTTGGATTTAAAACGTGATTACCAGGATGTAAGAAATGAGATACCTGAAGAGGACTTGTACAAAGTGTACACCTTCAACTCTGTTAGAAAATCGATGAGTACTGTGTTAAAAAACTCTGATGGCAGTTTCCGGATATTCAGTAAAGGTGCCTCTGAGATAGTTCTTAAAAAGTAAGAACAACTACTATTGTGATTCAGCACTTAAGTTTGGATAAATGTTGTGATAGGTGGGGAAACTGACCCTTGTGACTGCAACTTCACAGCTTGTCTCCTTCAGTGGTTTGACTTTCCACAGTAAAATGGGCCATTAGCACTTTAGTTACTTTACTTCAAACAACCCAGCCCTACCCCTCAAAACAAAACAAAGAAAGAGATGGTTGTCAGGCTTTAGTTAGACTATTTTACCTTTAAGTGTGGTTGATCAAAATTGCCTTCTAGTAGAGTCCCAGTAGTTGATATGCCTAAATTCCAGGAAGGGCTTGTACCTTTGGAAAGGGATTACTTTTTGCATATTACTGCTTAGATGGGGCAACTTTCTGTTCAAGTTGATCATTTCAACATGAGGTTGAACTTGAATGTTCGAGCAACTTGAGGGGTTTTAGTATGACAAAGCAATTACTTCCTTATCCATCTGCCCACCTATAAAGGATTTATTAGAATGAGATTAGACTTAGTGAGCGATTAGGCACCCCTGGGACAAACCTTTATAGGTGTGAAGTCAGCTGTGGTAACTCCTAACTGGGTGAGGAGAGACATCAAACATGTGTGCATCGTGTTCTCTAGGAACAGCAGTTGTTGCCAGGCCCGGTTTGGTTCTAATGTCAAACTGTTTCTAGTCTGAGTAGCACACAGATTATATTCATCAGTTAAAATCTACTTTTTTGCTTGTTAATAGCTCCTCAAATCATTATCTAGCAAAGTACTAATGTACTAAAGAAAAATATGAATTCTTCTTTCTCCTCAACTTTTGTGCTGAGAAGAAAATGTTAATCTTTAAAGGATTCCTGTTCCTATTGGTATGGAACTTTAAAATCTGTACTCTTTTTGCTAGATTTTTAAACCAAACCTTATCAATGAGTAGGTATGCCTATATTCACATTACTTCTACCTTCTGAAGTTTTTTGTAGCTTATAATATTGAACAACTGAACTGTAGAAATCACTAGAACTCAGTCATTCCAGACTCATGTGGTCCACTTGACTTAATAATTGAAAAAAGCAAATAAATAATAAGGGCATTTGGCAAAGAACAAGAAAACCTAGACTGATTTGGATATTATAGGAATACTGAAACTTGAACATTTATAAGACACAAATGAATCACTAGTAAGTGTAGAAAAAATGCAGAAACTTTTGCAAGTAGAGCAATTTCTTTTTTCTTTCCTTATCACCAAGTCAAATATTTGAAATTAGTTCCAGTGCAGTCTTTGCATAGAACTTATTTATATGTATTTAGTCATTTTGGAATGTTTGAATTTGTCACCAGCCTTATGATTGCAGCTAACACTAGATATCCTTAATGATTGCTGACATTTGAACAGATAAGTAAAATCAGAAAATTCACATAGACTTCAAATTTTAGTTATGATATGAATTTTGAAGCTCTAAGAGACTGTTTCATTTTGATTTTCTGTATGAGGTGGAAACTTTTAGGGAATTCCCTAAATCCTTGGAGTATATGCTTAACTTTAACATTTGTCATCTTTGCAAGTCTGCAAGGTCTGAACTTGATATTTAATGGAAGTAATTAATTACTTTTTTTTTCCCCTCTGGTGCTGTATGAATACTAATTTGTAAAAATAATGCAAAATGGTGTTACTTTATGGCAAAATTTTGTGAAGAACACATGAGAAAGATTGAATTTCTTGTTCAAACTCATTGGTAGTATTATATTCATGGCATCAGTACTGGCAAAGTATATGTGCTGTCTGTGAGAGCAGTGGCATCTTTGGCATGAAGAAACATGACTAAGAGAGCATGTATTGAAATGCTAGAGTGCATACTGGTGAATCTAGTCTCCTTTACAAACATTTTAATCAGCTTCAATATTTGTTTTTAATTTAATATTTCACATTGTCTCACATACCAGATGCTCTCTGAATTCTCTGCACTTAGATTGGGGGGGAAGGGCTGCAAACTTTCATTCTTAAGGGTAGCAGTACCTGAATTTGCTTATAGTGCTGTAAGTTTAGTGCTTGTTGTTCAAGCAGCATGTGCGTGTTCTCAAAGTGAATTTACTTCTGAGACTGTATTGCTGTTATCAAGGTTGGGATTATTTTGTTGAGCTTGAAACTGGATTGCCTCATTCAACCAGTGCAGACACCAGTCTGTTTACATACCATGGAGAAATGGATACCTCTAGGAGGTAGCTGATGTGTATGTGAAATTCATTGGGCATTACTTTCATTCTAGGATGACTGGCTCAGTTACCTTTCTACAGAAAGTAGATTTTGCAAGTGAAGAAATAAAGTGCATTTGGAGAAGATTACCTTAGAGATACCACTACTGGCATTTTGTGCCTGTGTGTGTGCTAGTGAAAACACAGCTTATAGAGACCTATTGGAGTTGACTAATATGCCAAAGAGTGGGTTGAGCTTCTGGTTAAAATTTGGTGATTCTTTAAATCTTTCTTTCCAGGTGCTTCAAAATACTGAGTGCTAATGGAGAACCAAAGGTATTTAGACCTAGGGACCGCGACGATATTGTGAAAACTGTAATTGAGCCAATGGCTTCTGAAGGTCTCAGAACCATCTGCTTGGCATTCAGAGACTTCCCAGCAGGGGAGCCTGAGCCAGAGTGGGACAATGAAAATGATATTGTTACTGGTCTGACATGCATTGCTGTTGTTGGGATTGAAGATCCTGTGAGACCTGAGGTAGGGTAACCACCTAAGCTGCAGCGATTCTGTTACATGGGATTCATGTTTTTCATCATGCAGAGTACAAGAAACTGAACTGCTATTGTATGCCTTAAGCATAGTTAATAAATGAAAATCTAATTTCTTGAAGGGAAAGTTAATGGAGCTATAAAAGCAGATTAAAACTACTTAATGTCACTTATACTGTGTTACTAAAGCTCTGTACAAATTAATAACTTAAGGTACTTACTGTGCAGGATCTCAGCAAATGAAACGACTTGTTATTTTTTAACACTTGGAGTATTAGGACTTTTGGTTTAGATAAGATTAGCCATTGTGCTTGTTACCAGCTTCTCATGGGGAATGATGGTGAGAGGTGAGCTTGTCAGCTGAGAACTGAGGGCAAGGAGTTCGGCTTGTGGTTGAGGTATAAGGTTTTTCAATCGTGAAAGCTTTTATGCCACATGCACATGGAAAATTTGGGCTGATCTGGACTATTGTCACTTAACAGTAAAAGTTATGGGTGAAGTAGTGGAGTATGAGCTGTAGTTTATTTCACATAATCATAAATAAAATGCCAGTACTCAGTACAGTCTAATAAGTCATGAGAATTTTTGTGGTATTTTTGAATACTGCGGTATTTGAAAAATTGCAGGAGGGAGGGGAACAGGCATAGCAGTGGCACAAAGCCTCTTGCCAGAATTGCAATTTGCATGGTTTTTAGGGAAAGAATTGTGGTATGCTACTTAATTTTTTTTTAATGTTCCGTAACTACAGTCTTCATTTTAAAATAACAGCAATCCTGTACTGAGCCATAAACATTCCTTTCACTCACATGTCTAGATTTATTTGACTATTGTACAGTCTCTGAGCCTGTGGGGTGTTTTTCTTGCTTACAGGTACCTGATGCAATAAAAAAGTGTCAACGTGCAGGCATAACTGTACGTATGGTCACTGGTGATAACATTAATACTGCTCGTGCTATTGCATTGAAATGTGGCATTCTGAATCCTGGCGAAGACTTCCTGTGTTTAGAGGGCAAAGACTTTAACAGGAGAATACGCAATGAAAAAGGAGAGGTAAGCACACTGACTCTCTCATCGAGCAGATTGACAGATATTCTCAGTCTCCTACATGTGTAAAATATAACCAATGCTCTTCCTGCAGATAGAGCAAGAGCGAATAGATAAAATCTGGCCAAAGCTTCGTGTTCTTGCAAGATCTTCTCCCACTGACAAACACACTCTAGTAAAAGGTATGTAAAAATTCTCTGAGCTTCTAAGTAAAGCTAGGGCATTTTTCCCCCCACTACTTCTAGGAAAAATAAAAATTAGGACTGAAAAATGACAAATGCTATGAAATTGTGTCCAACTGATTTTTTTTCCTTTCTGCTTGAGAAATGGAGCCAATGAGAACTTTTTTTGGTGACTGTTGTTTTTGTTTGTTGTTTTTTTTGGTTTATGATGGATATAGACAAAAACTGGGTTTCTCTTTTAGGTTAAATCTTTGCTGTGTTGTTAATTTAGGACTGTAACACTTGTATGTAATTTTATTTTAGGTATAATTGACAGCACTGTCTTTGACCAGAGGCAAGTTGTAGCAGTAACTGGTGATGGTACCAATGATGGTCCAGCTTTGAAGAAGGCAGATGTTGGATTTGCTATGGTAGGATTTTTTTTAAATCCCCAGTATTTTATCAATAGTTTATCAAATCGTTTAAGATTACAGAACCTTGTTTCATGAGCCTAGTATACAACTATATTAATAAAGTCAACATTCCAACTTAAATGTGTTTTTATTTGATGGAAAAGGTCCTTGTGGCATTCACCACTGAATAAAATTTTTAAAATGCAGATTGCCAATTACTTGCAAATTGAAAATATTTTACACAACAGCTTGTTGCAAAGCACTAGAACAGAATACTGAAGATTGCTGAAACATTTTCAAAATAAAACAAAGTGACTTTAGGCTGTAAATAGCATAATATTTGTTGATTTTGAGTAAATCTTGTTTCTGATATGGAATGAGCTTAATCATCCATTTCCCATTCAAGGATACATAGGAATAGGGAGACCATAATGGAAGAGACTGCCAGTTGATGTTCAAAATGGCTTTGGAGGCCATATCTTGTATATCTGAAGTACAACTGAAGCAATTGCATTTTATGACAGTGTAGGATCTTCACTTGTCTGGATGACTTGTTAGATTACATGGCTTTCTCAGCTATCCTTTCATGTGACTGCCAAACAGTGTTTTGGCTTTTAAGTGCTTATACTGCATAGACTCATGCCTTAAGTATGTGGATTTCAGCTTTCTTTCAAGACAAGAGTAAGACAGATTCCTCAAGCTTCCTTTTGCCACAGGGCTCCTCATCAGTCTTAAATGTAAGACGTACACTTTGGTCAAGGCAGGTCACTGTAATTGAAAGGAAAGGAAAAAGTGAAGACCACACTCTTCCTATACCTCATGCAGAAAAAGTAACACTGACTCAGATTCTACTCCTGAGAGAAAAAATGGGGAAGAGATTTCACATCATTCTCAAAGAGCTTTATTTAAAAACATAACTTAAAAATTTGACAGCTACATATGAAATGTTCTCTAGACTGTAACAGTCTTGTCGTAACAAGTATCTTTGTTCTGGTATGGTACAGCTGCTGTAGTTGCCACTGTCAAGGGCAGATTTGTTTCTCCGTTTTGAATATTTCCTGCAGTTGCTGTCTGTATTTATCTGTGTAAGGAACTATCTTGTCTAACTGCTTACCTAAATGGCACTTAAAATATACCATATGATATCTAGAGGTACCTTTTAAGGTATACACCTATCTGTGCAGGTCACTCATTTCCTTGACAAAATAATATATCAAGAATAACGATCATTACATTTGCTATTGAGTTAGTGGGTTTGGAATGCCAAAAGAAGAAAAAAATTTTTTTGAAGTAAGTGTCTTCAGGTATCATTATACAGAACCCAGCTGTTCGGGTACTGTAGGAGACTAGAGATGCTTAAAAATTAAGAATGTCATATTGCTTTGCAATGCATATGCAGTGATATTGCATATTCTACTGTTCAACGCTAATGCCCTTCTGCAGAAGGTTTTTGGTAATGTTTATCATCCTGCTGTGTTGCAAGCACACGTGCTGCCTGCTGCTGGAATTCATACGACAAAATAATTAGGGCAGAGCTTGAACTGTAGCACTGCACCATCTGGTGGCCTTCAGCTTGAACAGGGTTCAGTAACATCTCTTTGGGAGAGCTTAACATGTCTTTACTGTCAACTCTCAAATTTATATTAAGGTCTTTATTTTAAAGAAAGCATTACTTTGTTTTCATTTTCCCAAGCTTGAGCAAAACTTCCAAGTAGAACTTGTTTCAATAGGCCTTTAGATGCTTACATTAAAGGAGTCCTTCAGACATGGTGCATCCAAGTGAATGCTGACCAAGGACATAATAGCTTTTGTCATAAAAAGTCAGTGCATCCTGTTTTATTTCATAATGCTTTTCTTTTTCTATCAGGGTATTGCTGGAACAGACGTAGCTAAAGAAGCTTCTGATATTATCCTTACAGACGACAACTTCACCAGTATTGTTAAAGCAGTTATGTGGGGACGAAATGTCTATGACAGCATCTCCAAATTTCTTCAGTTCCAACTTACTGTCAATGTAGTAGCAGTAATTGTTGCTTTTACAGGAGCATGCATAACACAAGTACGTACCAGTGGGGGATTGTTTCAGCTAATAAAGGTTGAAAAAGTCATGATTGATTAATTCTTGAGTTCAAACTTTCACTTAAATAGTATTCCAAAGAACATAATGCTCTTCAGAACATGCCAATATTGTATGATAAATGAATTTAATAGCTGTAATTTCTACTCTTCTATTGGAGGGTTTATGTATCTATCTTTATAGGATTCTCCACTTAAAGCTGTGCAGATGCTGTGGGTAAATCTCATAATGGACACATTAGCTTCTCTTGCCCTGGCAACAGAGCCACCCACTGAAGCTCTTCTGCTGCGGAAGCCTTATGGTAGAAACAAACCTTTGATTTCTCGTACAATGATGAAGAACATATTGGGTCATGCATTCTACCAGCTTGTAGTGGTCTTCACACTCCTGTTTGCTGGTAAGAACACTGAGGCTTTACAAAGTTGTTCTGAATGTTGTAGAGAGGTGTGTTTTAAAACTATTTTTTTTGCTGAAGTGTGTGTGTAAAGACACTAATAAAGCTGCTCATAAATGCCTTTTATATACAGGTGAGAAAATTTTTGACATCGATAGTGGAAGAAACGCGCCTCTGCATGCTCCTCCTTCAGAGCATTATACCATAGTGTTTAATACATTTGTGATGATGCAGCTTTTCAATGAAATTAATGCCCGAAAGATTCATGGTGAAAGAAATGTTTTTGAAGGAATCTTTAACAACGCTATCTTCTGTTCTATTGTGCTGGGGACATTTGTTGTGCAGGTAAGCAGATTCTTGGAGGGTGGGGGGGAAATGCATTTAGTACACTAATGTACTTGCTCACCTTGGAAATGCCAATCTAGTGCCAGAGATCTAATTTCTGCAATACGGAAAACCTTCAGGGTCGAGCACAAAATAAGTAAGTTGTAAGTGCAGCTTGATTGAGTTTTCAGGTAAGACCTCTTTGAAATTGGTAATGTTGGAATATTGTATTTGTAGTTACCTTTTAAATTTTCTAGTCCATCAATTTTATCTTAGTGTTCTAGTCTCTTGGCAAAGTACGAAGTTGTATGTATCATCTATTCATTCACCCCTTGCCCCTAAATCTCTTCTAATATCTACTGTGTATCTGAACGAGAATCCATTTAAACGATTATAGAAAAAAGTACAATTTCTTTTATTTTCTTAATGAGATTAGGACATGAATAAGCTTTAGAAATTTAAGTATCAATTTTTACCTTACTGCCTTTGGAATCAGTGATACCTGCTGGTATACATTGTAGAGATGCTGTTTTAAGTGAAAGCAAATGGATGTCTAGGGATCTTCTGTTGGGGCACGTAGGGGGATTCATAAAAGCTAGTTAATTAACTCAGTACATGCTAACAAAGGAAATGAAATTATCTTCAGTTGATTGGGTTCACATGCTGGTGTTGAGAAACACCAATTTAAAAAAATTTAAATTTAAAACAATCTACAGAAAATAGTTAACAAGAAATATTTTCACCTTCTAAATAACCTTCACTTTAATTAATCAGAAGAAATATCAAATCAATATAGTATTTCATTTCAGAACCCCTTTTCATTTTTTATTAAGTTATTTGGGACATATAACCTACATATTAAGCTTCTCCTTAAACTTGATAATTCATGAAGCTGATGGAAATCATATGAGTTCAAGCATTGGAAATATATGCACCCCTTCTTCACATTAAGTCAAGGAACTTGCTCTCTCATGTTTAGGTTTTTATAGATGACACTTCTTCAGAAAGCTGCTCTTATTTTTGGGGTTACGTATGCAGCAGATTGACTATTGTTGTGCAACAAAGCCAAATATTTAGAAATTACTCCTGAATGCCACTGTGCTCTCATTGTATATTTGGCAGAATGAATGCCTTCCCAGCTCCTGATTTGTCATCTCAGTGTTTTTTTTCTGAGTTAATAACAGAAGATATTCCTTGCTTTTTCACTTGTCAGGTGTCCTACTTTATGGTCAATACTATCTCCTTTTCATGCCTGCCCTGCTACTTTGAATTGTTGATTCTCCAGGGCAGGCTTTCATGCATATAATTCCTATGCAGAGACATACCCTGCTCACTAGGGCCCTTACAGCTTGTAATAGCTAAGGCAGTAGGAGCTCACTTAATTTAGCTTTTGAGATCTCTGCTCCCTTCCCCCAAGATTTACTACATGTGGTGATTTAAAGTCTGATATTTAACACCTATGTGATACATAGTAATATTCTGTAGAATTACTTCTGAGATATTTCATGTCTTATGGATCTGTGAATTCTATTAATACAAGTTTATGAATGTTGGACTTAATTCCAAGATGGATGTTCATAGCAGAAGTAATCACTGTACATTTGTAGCATCAAATACATGCTGTAATTGTGAAATGAAGGGAAAAACCTACAAGCAAAACTGAGGAGTCAAAAGGTTTTCATGAGTGTGATATTTGAAGAATAAATGAGTAGTTCTTGAAATACTGAAAAGAGGAAGAATATGCTTAGGTCTGGAAACTTGCTCAATCTGCTGAGATAGTGAAAGAATATGCTTAATAAGACGGGAAATCCCATGTTCTCTTGGAGACCTGTCTGTTGTGATTTTAAAGCATTAGGGAATTTTCTAGTAACAACTCACTGATACATGTTTAATTATGTTTTTCTTCACAGATAATTATTGTGCAGTTTGGTGGAAAGCCTTTCAGTTGCTCAGAACTCACAATTGAACAGTGGCTGTGGTCCATTTTCCTGGGCATGGGCACACTACTTTGGGGCCAGGTAAACTAGGATTTTTCAAAATGCCAAAAATCTACTTGCAACAGTATACTTTAAATGGAAAAAACAGACACACTGTCTTTAGCGTTCAGATCTTTCAAGTGGACTATATGAATATATGAAGATTAACAGTAAATTTTAAAATTGACTTGTTCTATAGCTAGAAAGTTCTTAGCTGAATATTTCTTCCTCAGAGTGGGTCAATTACTTACATTTCATAACTAGATGTTGTGGCTGGTTTGTTTAGCAATTTTTAACTAGAAGCAGCTGTAGTTACCTTTTAAATATGAAATGATATCTTCAGCCAGATATGAGTACCAGAAAATGTGGTAAGAATACAAGATGCAATGAACATGCTAATGTTAAAATATATTTAACTTCTTGGCATTTAATGGTTTTCTTGAAAAATCAGAATTGCTAAACTTGACAGTACTTTCCTGATTTAAAAACCTCCTGGAGTAGCAAGAAATGCAGCAAAACTCAAACCAACTTTCTCTTTCATCTTCATTTGGATAATTGTGACATAATTGAAAAGTCTTCCCACCTATTAAGCCATTACATTTGGACTTTTATTTCCTTTCCCCTCCCCCCAGAGTGTCATTACTATTGCATGCACAACAGTGCTTGTAAGCAGCAAGCTTATTTACGTGAAACTTTAGAGCTACAGAGTTTTCTATTATTTAATGACATAGTTGCCTAAACTTTTCATACCACATGAAGAGTTTTCCATTACAGTTTCTTTCCTTCCACTAAGTAAAAGACACTTCATGTTTCGCCATAAAATTGGTAGGATGAATTTTAGCTGTAAATACATACATAGAAATATATTCTTAAAGTGACTAAGCTTTTTAACAAGGTTCTCTGGAAAATTAATTATTTAAAAAAATCAAATAGAGTCACTCTGAGGTTTAAAAGTATCCTAGAAGAGAATCGAGATGGCTTGAAATACCTTTGACCCAAAGTGTTTTGCAAGGACAAAGCTTCCCTGCTGCAGTTCATGCTGCTCTAGCATCTCATTAAAGTCAAAGAGCTTTACTTTTTTGAGAATAATAGAAACTGAAGTGTGAGCTGGGAGCATTCATAGTAGCAGTTTCAGCATAAAGGGCTGTTTATCTTCCTTTTGGAGCAGACTTTTTTCCTCTGCAGCTGCAGAAATGGTTTCTAGGTTTGTGATGATCAAGGAAAGCAGTCTTGGAATTTATCTGGATCTGCTAGATATAATGTACCAAAAGATGACTATCCTTAACTACACACAGCTTTTGTTTAATTTAAGATATATAAACTGCTGTACACCAAGTAGCAAAGTAACAGCATGAGATACATACAATTTCAGAAACATCACTCATCCTTGCAAATGGATTGATATCTCCCAGGTCACACATGAATGAATGTCTCTTCTGTATTTCTGAATTAATTGTGGTTACTTTAGGTGATGGAGGTCCCACTTGAGGTGACATGTCATGCTCATCAAACTGATGAAACTCTAAAAGCTCTAGATACAAGTACAATCTGCAGGATTAATGGCTTTTGTAACTTCAGTACTGCTCCTTCCTGGTATTGTCAAGTAACGTTAATGTGGAATTCTTTGTCCCTGGCAAGGCTGTTTTGTAGTCCATGTTTAATTTTGCACCTTGGTTGAGGTAGTAAGTGCATTCACAGCTTTGCATCTATCAGATGGAGTGATTGTTTTACACTGATGAACTCATCCTGTCTATGTAATTTAGTTTTTTTCAACTTTGCTAATTGTATGCAGGATATCTGTTAAGCTTTAAGACTGGTATTGCTCTTTTTTGGTTGTTAAAAAAAAGTATAATCCTGATTTAAATGTTTCATCCACTGTTAGTTGATTTCAACAATTCCAACCAGCCGACTGAAATTCCTTAAAGAAGCTGGTCATGGAACACAAAAGGAAGAGATTCCTGAAGAAGAACTAGCAGAAGATGTAGAGGAGATTGATCATGCTGAGAGAGAATTGCGTCGTGGTCAGATCTTGTGGTTTAGGGGCCTAAACAGGATACAAACTCAGGTATGGTCTTGAAAAAGGTAGGATGCAGTGGGGGTTATGAGGGAAATCTCATTTTTGACTAAGGTGGCTGTTCTAACTGGTGTGACTGAGACTGTCAAAAGGGGGTATGGATGGATTTGTAATCCCTCAGGGTCCTCTGTTTTCTTCAGCTTTAAATGCAACTCTTACCTGTGTATCTGCTCTGTTTTTTAAAAAGTGCCTTTTTCTTCTTTACTTTTTGTGTGTTATAGATGGGATGGTCCTTTCTCTTGTTCTCTCTCTCTCTTGCTGAGCAAGCTGTCACAATCTCTGATTCCTTGCAGATGGATGTAGTGAATGCTTTCCAGAGTGGAAGTACCATTCAGGGGGCTCTAAGGCGGCAACCCTCCATCGCCAGCCAGCACCATGATGTAACAAATATTTCTACCCCTACACATGTAGTGTTTTCCTCTACTACTGCTTCTACTACTGTGGGGTGTGAGTGTGTGTTCCTAAAGTGCATGAAATTAACATTTCCTAATTCACGTACCTAACGTTTCTCATTTTCTCCTTAGTACTTAAAATCATCGTTCAGGCTTTTATAGAGCTCTTCCACAAAGTGGAGTCCTCAAGACTTTTTTTTCTTAGAGGGCTGAGAACAGGTGGAACAGTTTCAACAAAAGACTTTATTGCGAAAGCTGTGAGCCTGCACATCCTGTGCCTTCATCCATTTGTGTACAGAGGGATTTTTAAGATAAAAAGGGAAAACTGTTGTAAATTTTCGAGTATATGCCTCTTAGGGTGACTTACATTGAATAAGTGAATTAACTGTATAATCATGGACCCAGATCAATAAAAATAGATCTCTTGCACTGCAGCACAAGCAATACTTAAGTAAGCAAGCTGATTTGGAAGCAAATGGTATGTTGAAGATATGAATGTAGTTAGAACATGGAGCACTAAATGCATTTTCTTTGTAGCTTGTAAGGAACTTTATGAATCTCTGCTTTAATTGGACCTTATTTACTGAATAACAACTTTTTCAACATCAGGATTCAGGTGGCGAAACAAGACTTCTAAAATGCATACACGTCAGAAGAAATATGAATTAGCTAACATAAAAAGGAAAGAAGTTTTAAGCATTAAATGGCGAAACTTTCATTCGAATCTGAAGGGTTCTTTTTCCTCTCTAGGTTCTTCTGGGAGCAGTTCATAAGCCATCAGTGAAAGTGAAGTTTGTCTCACCTCAATTCTACCCTCTCTATATTGTGCTCTAAGTGGCATTTCAGTTTCAGCCTTCCTCTCTGTAGGGGCTGGAGATTTATTTACTCTTGGATGTAGGCCTAAACTCTGGAGCCAGAAGATGCATAGTAGTTGTAGTTGAATACTGATAGCCAATATCTTTGTACAGAGTTTTCCATCTTAATACATGTTTAACTTTCTTCTCTAACTTCCTAGAGACTGGTTAAATGTTGTTTTTTTTTAATTCTGAGAGGGCTTCCCCCTTCCCGTCCCTGCTTAAACTTTCAGATTACCAGATGGATGAAGACCCTTAATTTCAGGAGCTGTCTTAAGTGAAATGGTCTCTTCATATTTTTTTTTTATTATTTATTTTTTACTTTTGGGCTCAGCCAGAATTTGTGTGTGAGTTTGCACAAGTATTTATCTCTGTATTTGTTCTCCATAGGCAAGACAGATATTTCCCTACCTTGCAGTAGTGCTGAGAAGCTCAGCTCACAAATTTGCATGCCTCAAGAACACAAAATGAAAAGTAGATTTAACACTTAAGAGCACACAGGATTGCATCTCCTAGTTAAAATGCTAATTAGTAACCTGTATCCCTAACTACACTCTAGAACATTAATTAGACATACAGAATTCTCTAGAGAGCAATGACATTCCATGCTGCTATTTGAGCAGAATCTACTGGGCACTGCAGCATCTCATTGCATCAAATGATCAATGCAGATACAGAGCTACCATAGCAGAGAACTAGTTTTTAATCCTCACTATTACAGCCTTCTGCTATGCCCTTCAGAAGAACAACTTTTCAGAACCAATATAGATTAATGGGAAGCAGATGTGTTATTGTCTCTTTTTTGGAGCTGCTTGTTGGAAAATAGTTCCTATGAAGTAAGGTTGCAACACTTAAGCAGCCATCTGGCTAGAAGGATTTGGAGTGCCAACCACATTCCTTGCTATTCTGGTAATAATATGAGGCAGGCCTGATGACAGTATGAATTACACTTAACAAATTGTCTTGTTTGCACCTCACTTACATGATTTATTTATAGTTATCCCTCTTGTTTAATTATCTTGAGTGGTTGAAAATAGAGCCTTCAAAACACTAGATTTTTCCTTTTAAAGTGCTGAAGGTTTGATTTCTGCCTTTATGGCTGGACTCTGAGAGTCCTGAGCTTGCTGTATTGTCTAGTCCACTTGTGTAGTATGCATTCTGCATGGAAACCAAGCCTTTATTGTGGGAATGCATATATTCTATGATAATTACAGCTGTCCTCTTAAGCCAAATTGTTTTTCATTGTTGCTGATGTTCTAGATTCCCATCCATAAGCAATGAAAAACAGTCCCATGAGACATTCATATCTCATTTTGCTACATAAATAGCACAGTGGGATGCACCATGGCAAATAAAGTCATTGCAAACTTTCAGCCTGGCATTGTCACTGCTAATTTTCTTGGCAAGTGCCAAGACAGTTTAGGTAGCTGGCTGGACTTGTTTAAACCTTCTATAATGCGCCAACTCCTTGACAGCATGATCAATTTTTTTCATGCAATGAACAGTAAAGTACTAGCTGCTGTTATAAATTTTTCTTCAGCACATTCACTCTTTTCTGTCCTCTCCTTACTGGTAGTTATGTCCTCCCCCTTGACTGTGTGCCCCATCCCTGTGTCCCCTTATTCCCTGTGCCCTGTTCCCTTGCCTCCATGGTTAATTTGGCTCAGCATGTACCTGTAGTATAAAAATGGGGACATGGTCACTTTGGAGTAAAAAATCTTTGTGCAAGTGGTCTGAGGGAGCAGAGGTGGGGAAGTAGCAGAGATGCTACTTCTAGAGGTCAAAGAACATAGCTGGGACATGGGACTTTATCATGTTCTATTTAACCAAACTGATTTAACCCATTGCTTTGGGGGAGTCCTTCTCTGTTTACAGTGAACTTCCCTGGTGTATCCTAGCTATTTTGAAGTCTCTGCTCTTGATCTGCTTGACCTTCCTTCATTCCTTCACCTAGAAGTAACTTTTTTTTTTCTGTTGAAGACCTCTTGAAGCACTAGTCATGATGTATTTCTCAGCTTGAAACAAGTCATCTTGGATGAGCTAAAAAAAGCTTTAAATTTGACTTGCTGTTTGTAACAGCAAGTTCTTGTTTACTATGGAGTTGCTCTGCTGCTTATTATTTAACACTGTTTCACACTACTTTGCTGGAGACTTGCTCAGGGTAGAGATGTTGAGAGTTGAATAGAGAGTCAACAGCAGGGGGAAGCTATCTCGGGAAAAGTGTTGGACAAATGAGTCAATGACTTCCGCCTCACTTTACATGTTTTGTCAGTTCAAGAATGAATCCTGAATTTCTCTTGTTGGTCAGGGAAACATGGGGCATGGGAGAAGGGGGATGTGGGCAGCTGGTGTCATCATTCAAAAATAATAGTCTGGAAAGCTTAAACTCAAGTCTGCCTGGACATGCACAGTTTGCCAAACAAAGCTGTACTTTCTTTTGTATCTAACTATGAAAGGTCTATTTATTAATTCTGTTAGATTAGCTTTCTGATTCAGAAAATATTAAACAACAAAAAGACACAAAACAGTCCTCAGCTTGGAAATGGTGTCCATGAATTCAATGTAAATTGAAGACTCCACAAAGGCTGATCATCCTGCTTTTCTCATACTTGGCGCTACTTAAGTAGTCTCTTCAAAGTCACAACCTGTCCTGGCTACTAAACTGTACAGTACAGTATCCAATTTCCTAGTTTTGGTCTTAAGTTTCCAAAGCACTGTTTACTAAGGAGCTTTCTCTAGCGTGGTAAATGGCTATATACTCGAATATTTACAGCTGTTACAGAGGTATCCTTTTTTGCATGACTTCGTAAATGTTTGTTCATTGTGACATTGGCTTACACTTGCTTGGCTTTTTCATAGTCAGTTGACATCCTAATTCCTAGCATGAGAATTAGTGACCCTTTTATCCCCTAACTTATTTTCAGCCTCTCCTCTCCTTCCCTCCCTCCAATCTCACGCAAATATTCAATAAAACACTCATTGAGATTTATTTAATTTTTGAATAAGTAAATATTTGTTGGCCTCATTTCTGAAAAATGCTTAGCCCATGTTAAATAATTAAACAGTTTTAGTGCCATGTCTGAACTTTAGGGCCCTTCAGCTTTTTGCAGTGCTTTCACAATTTTTATTCCTACTGTGTAGACTGGCAGTGCTCTACTGAAATGCTCTTCATTTTTTACAGTTTATTGCAAGTTCCACTGCATCATACAAATTTGATTCACTCATGTCTCACTGTTTGTGGATTCAAGCTCATAAGAACCATGCCATTATCAGTCAATCTGCAGCATTTCAACAATATTTTTTCTTTGTTTACAGATCCGAGTGGTGAATGCATTTCGTAGCTCCTTGTACGAGGGGCTGGAGAAACCTGAGACACGAAGTTCAATTCACAATTTTATGACGCATCCTGAGTTTAGAATAGAAGACTCCGAGCCTCATATTCCCCTTATTGATGATACTGATGCTGAAGATGATGCTCCAACAAAACGCAACTCTAGTCCCCCTCCCTCTCCCAATAGAAATAACAATGCGGTTGACAGTGGAATTCACCTTACAACAGACAAGAACAAGTCTGCTACCTCTTCATCCCCAGGGAGCCCACTACATAGTTTGGAAACATCACTCTGATTGTAAGCTGAATGTTAACACACTAGCTGCATTGTAAAGAAATTGAAACTGGGTCTCTTCACACATTATGATGGACAAGATGCTATTCTTGTCTTGGACTTCAACAGAAGAAACACTTGTACGAATGTAGATTTATTTTTTTAAAAAAAGCTTTCTGCCAGACTGGAGGGTGCTTTTCTGGGGGTGGGAGTAATAATGAACTCTGACAGATAAACAGTAACTCAGCATAAGTGACCTGTGGATCATCTGTTGTACTAAGAATGGTCCTGAAGAGTGTGTTAGCAGAGCTTTAGTTTATCATGATCCTTTTCTGAGGGGAAAGCTGGGAAGGGCAAGGAGGCCCTGGATCATTGAATTGATACTTTAATTTCTGCTGTTGGCTGTTAATAATTTGGATTATTTATGTTTATAAATGATACAGATCTGTTTACAAGGTTTGTAGATACTTTTTTGTTCCTGTTCATAGATGGGAAGCTTCCTTATAAATGATGCAGAGAAGACAAAAAAAACAAAACAAAAAAACCAAAAAAACTAGTCCTTCAAATACTGCTGTATTTTCAGGAAAAGGGTGTTTCTATTGAAACTGTACTAAATTTTGCCTGCAATTTACCTTGTTAAATATTGTAGATAAATTGCTACTACTAATAGCCAAATAGATAACACTAATGCTTTGTAAAAACATGAGCAGTGGTGTTCTAATGAAGTTATGGCCTCTGTCCTAATTAGTTTCTTAAATACATTTACTACTTAATGGTTTTGAAACAACTGTTTAATTTTTAAAAATTTTGAGAAACTTAATGAATAACTTTTGTTCAGAACTTAGTAGGATTGTTTAATGCAGGACATCAATACGTGATGGAACTTGCTTGAAATATTTCTGTTATCTCGGGCAAAATGGATTAAATCAAAATACATCAGAATCTTAGTCCTTTGTTTTTGTCTAATCATGTTAGTTTAGTGCTGTCTTGGTGAACTGTGAGTGGAACTGTGATTTTTTTCTAATCTATAGAATCCTTCATGCAGCATGAGGGCTGTTGGCATTTTGAAAGGTTGATAGTGGGTAGCATACATGTTCTCCTTTTTGTTTTTGAAACTTGTTTGTAAACATGAATAAATCTGCCCTTTTGTTAAAATAAAATTGCAGCAATGGTTTCTTACAGATTTTTTTTTCTCAGCTCCTTCACTGGAAATACAGAGAGTACTCTTTTGTGTTACTGGTTACCTTTAAACTGCAATTTCAAGATGGTAACAGCCCCACTCCAAATAGCTCTTTGGGTAAATGGAATCATGGTGGCTGCCTCCAGAATGAATGTAAGTTAAGGTACTCAAAAGTCTTCACTGAGCCAAAAGGATACTCCTGGGGAATTATCAGTCTGCCTGAAATTCCGAGACTTACTGTGAGTACCATGTAATAAATGTATCTCTGACTGCTTAAGTGAGGGAGACTGAGAACTGATGTAAAGCACAGGTGAAATGCACCAGAACTGATCGACTAGAGATTGACTGAAGAAGTTATGGTCTGCCTCTGCTGTATTGTTCAGACAGCGAAGGATGATGAAACAGTACTTGGTCTGGCACTTACTCATGTTTTCTAGGTTCAATACTACTAAAAAGAACAACAGAAGGCATGAGTTGTAAGATTTTCTTTTTCCAGGTCTGTATTCTTTAAGAAAGCAAGTGAATTTTTTTGTCAAATAATCCAGAATTATGGACATTTTTAAAGTGGTCCCTTCAAAGGACTGCAATAATTAAGTTGGTAATGAGGAAGGAGATGATACTAGAGCTAACTGCAGAAATGAACAGGTTGGGAAGCTCAAGCACATCTTTCCCTTGTGGTGGGGTACATGCATGCTTGGGGTTGTCCTTTAGCAGATATTGTTCGACCTGTGGCACTGTATCCCACTGTCAACCACTCCTGAATTCCATCTTTTCTATTGTACTTCAGTAAATACACTGAATTCTAGGCAAGGGGGTCGAGGGTGGGGGGTTGCACTTGACACTTTGTATAGTAATTCCTCCCACATGTTTCTAGCACTTTTCTTACATCATAGTTCTTATCTAGAGCGCTTGGTAGGGGCGTCAGTTTTTATGTAAGCTATTTTCTCTTTACTACAACAATCAGATAAGCATTGGCTTAAAAAAGGAGTTTTCTTTACCTGTGAAGTACACTGCCATGTGGAAAAGTATCTTCATTTAACTTCATTAATGAGTAATGATTTGACTTCATTTCAAAACAGACTTTAATTTTCCCCTCTTCTCTAGGTGTGATCATGACTGCATGTTATCTTTTTTGGAATAAAATCTACACTTAAGCCTTTTGTGGGGGGTGGGAGGGTGAATGTAGGGTTTGTACATCAATGGTCCCTCTTGATTCTGTTAACATCAGTGTGCTGTTCTTACAGGAAACTTCCTTACAGAAATAAGGAAAAGTTGTTTAAGAGGGGGGTATGCTTTCTTTGTGATCTCAAGAAATCATAACATTGCCTAGATTATGAAATGGTTTTCACTAAGCTCATGAGGCCTTCATTGCCTTTCTGGTTGTAAGGTTTACTTGTCTTTCTTCTTGTAACTGAAATAAATAAAAGTGCTGTTCATCTCAGTCTGTATGGGGACTGAAATTCTTGAATGTCAGTACAATACTGATTTAAACCTGAAATGCATGCCAGTTCTATAAAACAGCTCTTGCTACAGTTTTACGCTCATTCGCTTTCAAGAGGTCATGGTATATGGTGTGTGTGGTTGAGCAGTAGTGACTTTAAACATAAACTCAGTTCTAGACTTTGGAGTGGCTTAAAACGTGGTTTCTTGGGTGGGATGTCTACTATAGTTATGTATATGTTACAACACCTCATCTTGGCTCTGAAGAAGGGCTGAAAATGGTAATACAAGAGGACTCTTTTTCTTTTTTTTTTCTGTATTGGCCTTAACAGGAAGAGGAAAATATTGCACCCTGGAGTAGTCTGGAGAGAATAATGGAGACAAACGCCTTAATGCTAAATGAGTGGATAAATGCAGGGGTCTGTAGCAAGTACAAGCAGCTAAAAAATATGAAATAAGATCCTCAGAGGGTTTCTTAGAATAACAGCAGATTTTCCAAATGTGTTTCAAAGTAAGCAAGCAAATGTAATATTCATGGAAAGATAACTTGTGTATACTGAGTATTGGAAAGTGATTCCAAAGGCCTGATAAGTTCAATTTCTACTGCAAGTAGTTCTAGCCTCTGCAGACCTCTAGAACAATCCAGAATATAGTAAACGTTACATAAATTAAAGTAGATTATCTTAATGTCTGTACTACTTTTCTAACGCAAATACTTGAATTTAAAGAGCTGCTGTTTTTTTCCACCTGCACCCTCTCGCCCAGCAGTGCATTTCTTGTGATCTTACAGATTTCAAGCCCTCACTGAAGTACCTTAACTTTGTTGGATGAGCCTGGCCAGCATGAAGGGTCCAGCTCCAATTTATCTCCAGAATGAGTAGTCCTGCTTATTCCAGGACCATGTCATGAGAAATTCAGGGCCAGAATAAAAAGCCTTATAGCTGTTCCTGCCAATCTTTCCCCCTGAACTGTATACAGAAATACCTAACCACCTTCCTCGAGAGGTTGCAGCATCCATCAAGGAGATATGATTTAGTGTGTAAAACAGAAGCCTCCTACAGGTACTACTTGTCCTTTGTGCTCTAAAATGAGGGTTTGTTAAGAAAATGATGGGATGGGCTTAGACAGCTGAAAAAAGACAGCATGTAAAAGGTAGCTCATTGGCTAACTTTGCTGTTATATACACCTACATGAGTTTTCTACAAAATCTTTACAATCATAAGTTTGAAAAAAGTTCCTTGACTTGCCCCAAATAGAAGACGGTGGGAATTTAAACTTGAAAAAATAACTAACAGGAGTATTTTGGGGAATTAACAGCTTTTGGTGGAAATGTACATTCTGGAATACTGGAACATCATTTCACATTCTAGTGTAATGACTGAAACAGCAGTTGCTCACCAAAATAGGAGTATGCATTCTGGATCCCTTTAAGCCCTTGCAAACGTAGTAGCATCTAACTATTCTGAACATCTTCATCTGCTTTCCTAGGCTGCCTCTCTTGCAGGGCATGAAGCTGAATCATGCTGAAAGAATGTAAGTATGATCATACAGAAAACTTTCTTCCTTCTTGGCAAAGGCACAGTCTTGCATTCAGTCTATGGCAACTGCTCAGGCACAGAATGAATACTGGCTTTTCCTGGTTTAAAGCTTTCAGTCTCTTGTATAGAGAATCAAGGTGTACAGTTCAAATACTTTGTGTGAAAAGCCTCCCAAAGCTTTTGACTTAAAATACAATAAAAAACACAAAGCCACTCGACAAATAAACCCTAGAAGACATATTTGTTATCTTTGACAATTTCAGTTTTACAAATACGGGATTTAACTTGACTTTCTCAGTTTTCCACAAGTTGGTTGCTCTGATGGCTGTTAAGTACAAAGCCTCTTCAGTTATGACCAAAGGTTGTTGAAAGATCTCCTGAAGGTAAGCCTGTATTTGGCAGATGTTTGTGGGGAAATACATAGCTTATTTTGAATACTGTGCTGGCAGCTACTGCATAGTGTTTTGTGCTATGTATTTTAGGAGAGAATCTGCAAAATGAACAATTTGCAAAGTTCAGATCCATGCAATAGAACCTGCCAAAGGATACATGAATCAGGCACAGAATGCATGAAATAGGAAATTCTTTGAAGTGATATTTTGGTGTAAACCAGGATTTTGTTTTGGACAACACTGCTTTAGAGATGGGAAGATTTCTCTATTCACTTGCCATATATTGGCCACGTTCTGATCAGTACAACAATTTAATTCATTGAGGACTATAATTCAAAAATCATTCTAATAAACAAGTGTTTTTAAAGAAAAAGAAAATTCTGGAAAAGGTACTTTTTGTCATATTTTAATATTCCCAAAAAATAATTCATTCTTAGCTTCTTTTGCCAAATCAACTAGGCTCTGTTCTAATAAATCTAGCAGTATATAGACATGAATTACGACTTGGTATGTCCTTCCTGTCTTCCTCCTTCCAGTCTGTCAAGGATGATTGTAAGGAATCAGTGAAGGACAGATGGGGTAAGATGTGCAGTTGTGGATTTCTATCTTGCCTTTTGATCTTCTCTTCTGCTTTCTTCTTCAAGATCTCACCCACTCTCAGTAAATTTTGGGAGTACTTTTTATATGGTAGCATCCTTTGGTACTGCAACCCAGAGCAACTCATAGGAGAGCTCTTTCAACAGGATATGTGGAAAGAACTGGCTTTGGAAAAATAAAGAATTAAAGAGAGACAGGTAGCTTTTTTTCCAAATCAGAAAAACAACAAAATTCAACAGGATGAGTTTATTGCAAAGTTTTTACTAAAGAATTACAAAAGAATTATCAGGCCAAATATCACCAGAACGGCTTGGCTGGTTACTTGGCCCATAAAGATTCTATAAAGCCCATCATGTCTTAGCTGAACATAGCTAAATTGATGCCATTATAAGAAATTAGTTTCTGATTTTCCCAGCCAGTCAAAAGTGACAGCATATGAAACTGCCTGAACACAAGAAAACACACAAAGAGGTTATAGGGAGTCTTCATCCTTGGAGACATTCAGAAGTCAGCTAGACACAGCCCTGAGCAATCTGCTGTAGCTGATGCTGCTTTTAGCAGGGCTTTGGAGTAGATAACCTGCAGAGGCCCTTCCCAACCTCAGTCATTCTCTGATCTTGAAATTCTTGAGCAGTAGGTGTAATTCCATTGGGTTTCTTCATTATCCTCATGGATATTATTCCTATACATAGATGGAATTCAATAAAGATATCAGTCACTGGAACGATCAAACCTGAGGCAAAGCAAGAAAGCTACTATTTTTTTTCTCTTTCCCTAAACTGTCCTGACCAAAAGGCTTGCTGACATTTGTCTGCTCTAATGCCTACTGTGATAGCAGAGCTTGGATCACTTCTGCCCTAGTAAACCTTTTTGAATGATGACTGGCTGTCTGTAGTTCATAGGAAAGCCCACAGACTCTAACATGATTTCTAGAAAGCTGCAAACCTGTGGAAATGAGCTTCTCCTCAAGGAGAGGATTTCTCATTCTGTTATTAGCCTCTTTCAGGTGTTGAAAGAAAAAAATTGTAGCTGATTCTAAGGAAAATTAAACTCCAGCTTATTTGAAAATTTATGTGGTTTCATTACCCTGCTCTCTACTTAGGACTCTCCTGAAAGAACATGATCTTTTTTCTCAAAGTTTCTCTCTCTTTTTTTCTGGTTTCAAGTGTTTAAGATCAGCTTCTATTAAAAAGTTCTCTTGCAGGCATATAAAGTCAATGAAATTTATATTATTCTAATGGATCAAGACAAAGAGCACTGAAAGGTATGTTTTTAGCCATAGAAGATTATAATTTACATGGAATTGAAAAGCTGACTTTTCTCCTTACCTTAGTTCATAGCGTGGTGGTGTTACAGGCTTTTATCTAATTGAGCAAAGTATTGGTGAAATTAAATGAAATGCCATATCAGTTCTGATGTTGCATACAAATGCTCCCTTCTTCTGCCTTGAGTTGCAGAAATATTTTGCTACACTTAAAGAACTTAGTGTCATATCAGAGCTGGATTCTCTTTTATTGGTTCACACATAATTGCCTATAAAACTTCAATGCTAATGTAGGAAGGCATTGCGAAACTGCCATTCTGATCTTAAAAATGTTGTAATAGGAAAAAGTTTCAAAGAGTCCATGCATAACCTGCATAGTAAAACTAGCTGCTTGGCTGATCAAACGTTATAGTAATGAGATGATTCTACCCAAAATTTGACATTCTAACTATTGAAAAAATAGTTGAGTTTCTGCAAAACAGAAACATGTTTTTTTTGTTAGAAATAACACATTCCTTTTGAAACTAAAACACATTCAAAACAAGTATGTTTAGAAGATATGGGGAAGTGCCTACAACACTAACTTCCAATATGCTGTGTAATGGCTCTCTATCTTAAAGGTGCAGAAATCTTTAGAATTTTCATCTGTAGAGTCAATATATTGAAGCATGTTTCATTTCAAAAGTCTTCATAATTCAATAAAAGCTAACAGGAGGTTAAAAGTATTGAGTGGCCATTTTTAAACTTGGGATGCTCAGCCAATTCTGTAGGCATGTCAGTACTTGAATACAGTTATTATATCTTTAAATCTCACTGACTTCAGTCTTTATCAAAAGTGCCATAAACAGTCCAAGTCTGAATATCAACTAAAGATCAAATGTCATCTTGATACCAATCAACACAATCAGCATTTTACATATTTGAATGAAGAAGTGATACGGGCTTTTTGATCACTGGATGAGGAGAGCAAGCTGATAAAATACCACTTGAGAAGATGATTTTCCATTGTTTTTTCTTCATTACTGTCCCCAAAGGCAATCAGCACAATCAACAGATCCCTCAGTGTTTGTTTTTCAAGGTCATGCTTCATCTCTGACAATCATTGTCAAAAAGACTGAAATACTGGGACACACTCATGCATGCTATCATATACCCAATTTGAAACATCACACTTGAAATCAATCCAAGTCCTTCAGTTCAGTCAGAGATAGCTATTTCCAAACTGACTACATTTGGGATTTTGCCAAATAAAACACAAGTGCTCCTATGGCTTTCTTGCCTTGTTTTAGTCTTGTAAGTCTTGATGATTGTGCTGTAACTCAGAAATCAGCCTTAGTGGAAACTTCATGGAAAAATCTATTTAGGTGCTAAGCACCTTAATAAAATTATTCAGCTCAAGCGCTTTGCTTTTGTGTTATGAAATGAAAGGGTGTAGCCATTTCTAAGAAGGAAATTTGTTAATTTTCGGTTCATGCCTGTGGGTCTGCCAAGCTTTTGAACAAGCTTTGACACCTGTCAAGGAGGATCTCCTGGTGTTGGGGATCTCTTTTGCTATGCCAACAGGGAGCATAGACAAGTTCAACTTACAAGTATCTACACAGTCAGCCTTGTTGGCTTTACAGCAAAACTGTAGCTTTTATAATCAAACTGCTCCACCTCACTGCAGGGATGTGATTGGGTTGGAACGGAGCCTTTCACAGATATGTGGTGCTGGCCCAGGTTACTACTCCTCTCTTCCTGCAGTGTTCCCTCCCTTGTGCCATTTCAACAGCTTCTGTGACAGTGTGGTCAACCACACCAGAACGATTTCTGGGTAAACTGCTGCTGCAGGCTGGTGGTGTGGGGTGTTCTCTGCACAAAAAAACTCCAGCAAAGACATGCTCCCCCTGTGACTCGTGCTGCACAGTCTAGAGCTCAAGGAATAACAACCCAGGCACCGTAGATGAAGGAAGTAGGAATTGAAAGGGAAGAGTAGAAAGAAACACATGAGCAAGGAGAAGGTTTTTGAAAACTTCTGGGGAAGAAAAGCAGGGTAACAGGATAGGAGTAAGAACAAAAAACATGAATATACAAGTTGAAAAGCTTGTGTTTTAAAGCAGATTTATCTAGCTTGAGGTACTAATGTCAGGAGCACTACAAACTATGCCCTCTAGTTATGCTGGAGTATTTCAGTCACCTTTCCTTCTTGTTTTGGTTGGGAGAAGAACCAATGAGGATCTGTGCTGTAGATCTGAATACCAAAATTTGACAACTGCTATGGATCACTAGGATTTCACATAAGTGATGATAGGTGTGAGGGAGCGTAACAAAACTAGAACACTGATGTAAGAAACTTAATCTTTTCATTTATTAAAAGATAATAAAAAAGTAGTTCTTATTTAAAATACAAAAATTAAACATGCATAACATAATTAAGTGGTGTGTCACAGTAAAATGTGCTTATCTGCAAGTGTTCATATATTTTTGGTGAAGACAAAGTTCCACGATTCTATTGAACACTAAGGCAGGAAAACTTCCTTGCAGCAGGAGTGATCTTGAAAGCAGTTCTTGTAGCAGTCATGTAAGACCCCTGTCTGGCGACAGCTGGGAAATTAAAAAAACAGTATCTATTTTATGGATGCAAAAATAAGCTGCTTATACTAATGACAGGCTATGTGCTTCAAAATATAAACCTAGTTAAATATGAACTCTCTTAGAGTGAAAGTAGCCAGCAAACAATTTCTAAGTAAGAATTAGGGAAAAAAATATAAAAAGAGCGCACAGAGTAAGTTAGAGCTCTCATCTCCAACAGACTTCCTTCTGATCATTTTAGCCTGAATTTAGCATTTTGTCTCCATTACAAAGATTGTATGGTGTGAAAACACTTGTTAGGTTGCAGCTTTACAGCATAGTGATGGAAAACTACCTGGATTTGTTCTGAATGGGCAGAAGCCACCAGACCACACTCCCTTGGCAATTCCTGCTACTGCACCTGCAAAAGTTGTGGCACCCACGTATTCCTTGTAACTTAGAAAGAGAATTGCAGCAATTTGCTGCACATCTCATCTGCTACATGGTTCTGCAGCTAGGACCAGTCTCCACTGTACCTGTATTGCTAACTGCCACTGTAAAACAATTGCAACTGGATTGTGATGGAGATTCTGTATATAGTGTGTCCATACACTGCAGCCTTGCAATTAGTAATGTGTAAGATGATAAAAACAGGTAACATTCTGTGATACAACAGAATGCTACTGGAAGCCTGAGGGGGTTTTTGAAAACTTGTTTGAATGAGAAAATGGGGAGCAAAAAATTCTTCCTGGCTTCGTTTTGTGATACTAAGCAGATGCCTCTTTCTGCTTCATTCCACACTATGGTACATGGCTTGTTCAGCCTTTCAGGAGCTATCCTCTGAAATAGAACCTGCCATTATGCTCAGATCAGCATAAAATTTCATAATATTAAAGCCACTGCAAGAAGGGGTTGACACAAGCTGACACACATACAACTATGTATGGATACAGCCTTCCTGCAAGAGAGGAAAGGGAGTTTTAAAAAATAATGCGTAGAATGGATAAGGTATTTGCAGTTTGGACTTTCTACCCCCAAAATGACCCACTATGTGTGCATGCATTACCAGTGGAATAGGGCCTGTTGATTGGATTTTTACCATTTTATAAGCATGATTTGATAAGATGTAACATCACCACTCATTCTGGAATCAGACAAGTGTCTAGCTATCTCACCTATGGCAGCAGCTTTTGTACTTGATACAGGCACACAAGCAGAACAATGTATTTAATAATAAAGCAAGAGAGTCTGAAACTACTACCACTCCCTTCATTTTTCTCTGTGCTTCAGACACACAAGTAATATTCAAGAGAAAAATCTATGTGGTAGCAGTAGGAAGCATCTGTGGCAGTTCATCATGTTGTGGGTTTGCCAACTGTCATGCTGGAAAGTTCTTCCTGTCCAAGAAGCCAGGGTTGCAACAGAAAAAAAAAAAAAAAATAAAAAGAGTACACACGCAGGCTTTCCTTGTCCAGACACAAGTCCCTGCTCTACTTTGGTATAATAATGATAAATACAGGTGTAATTTGCAATGCTGTCTCTCATATCTTCTCGGCATCTATCCTGAAATGAAGCAGCTACCACAGCTGCCTGACTCCTGTCCCACTGCAGCTAAGCTAAGAGAAGCAGTGTCTCCTAGTTCTTTTAAACATACTAATAAAAGTCTGGTTCAGCCCTAGTAAAATAAACTGGTGGCTCGGTCCTTAGATAGATGCCGCAAAGCAGCAGCAGAGGAGAGAGCAGTGAGACTCCTAAATCAGCTCACAAGTCATTTCTGGACCAGTCATGAGATACAGAGTCAAGGATCCTTTTAGAAGAGGCATGGGTGGCGTGGAGCTGGGAGACCTGCACTATGACATTGCCAAGCAAATGTTTGGCACAGCCCTATGCTAAGCACCTGCAGTCTCTGGGGGGTCAGACCTCACCCTTCAGAAAGCAATTAGCAGAAGAAATTAACATCAAGGATGTTGTAGCTGCAGCTGTTCAAGCACCATTAGGTTCCTTATTCTTCAATAATTGTGGCATATTACTTTTCCTCAGTTGTTTTTGTAATTACAATTGTTATAATTTGTCTTACTTTGTACCTGGCAGTTGCAGACATTGGTTTCAAACACTTATTTTAGCTTTACTGCTATTGGAAGATTGCTGTTGAAAATGTGCATTCTAAAGAAACTAATTTTATGGAGGATTTGAGAAAAATCAGAAGCAGGATTAATGTCTAGCTCACAATTCTTATTTCAGTGCTCCAAGAAATTACTAGTGTGCTTCCAGGGAATACCTACCCCTGAAAATTACGTATCAATAAAATTCAGAGTTATAAGAGTTTTTTTGTTTTTCTTCTAATAGGTTACTTGCTTCAATTACCTATAAACATGCATAACATGGTTCCACTTGGCCAGTTACATTTTATCCTGAAAATTTACGTGGGTTCTGATACCAAGAGTTCATTTTTCTAGTTAGATTTCTTATTCTAGATTCCTTGCTCTGGTTTATTCTATCCCCTAGATCATTCTCCTTTAGGTGAAATGTTCGCCTTGTAATACATACCTAAAGAGACACTTTACCAAAGTAGGCATCTCCATAAAATTCACCAGTTTTTATTGATTCACCTTTGCAGTTAGCATCCACATTATAGCAGATGAATGATCCTATTATAAGATGTACTAAATGAAGATGCCCTAAATCATTCTATATAGCATCTTCTTAAGCATTAATAAATTTGTACTAATTTTTGCTATGGTGTACTACATTCTTCCAAAATTGTTCTAGCTCTTGCAAACTCAGACACAGGAATAGTTCTTGATTTTTAAATGCACATTATTAAACAATTTGCTAAATTAGCTTGATTCCAATACATTGAATTTTGCAACATGACAGGTATTGTATGGCAAAGAGACACTATACTACATATATATTTAGAAAAAAACTGCTTTACTTATTTTTAGAAAAGCTGGATGTAAGTGCATCGAAATTAAAATATATTTACCAACATACCCATGTTACTTGCAACACAGGAAACTTTCCTGGTATTGATCATCCATTAAAACATTAGGAATAAAAAGGAAGATGGTCTTTAAATTTGGAATTGCATATGAGTATTCATCCACATAGTGATGCTACTGGTATAAAACCCCATAATAGAATTATCCCAGAAAATGTAATAGTAAAACCTGTTTAATTATCTAAAAAACAATCAGTCACTGCAAACTTTCTGAGATTCAAATAATATAGAGGCCAAGAGTTATAGTCTGACATTTAAGGTAAAACTAAGAGACTTACATGGAGCTCAAAGCATGCTGCATATTACTCTGTCAATGTTTTTATTGTGCTGTTTGGGTACTAAGGGAGAAACATTAGGGATTTAATCTCCATAGTCATTAGAAAGATATATATCTTTTACACAGAAGCATCTAATTAAAAGGAACAAACAAAAAAGGACCTTTGTATAACACACCCAATTTTATACAAATTCTAATGACTCTAGGTTCTTTGGCAGAGTAACTGTCACTCTCAGTTTCTAATCCAGATGGTTATGTTTTAAAGTGCTGGTCTTGAATTATGCAGTTTTCTTTCACACGTGTTTCCCTTCAGGCATCAGTAATAAGAGATAAGTTCTCTTATTTATCCTTCTTTTCACATACAATCCCTACACTGAAAAAGGAAAAATCTCAATCATCTATTAGCATGAATAGACCACTCATTATTTTTGTGGCCCTCTTCTGGACCTGCTCCAACAGATCCATGTTCTCCTTATGTTGGGTGCCCTAGAGTTGGACACAGCACTCCAGGAGGGGTCTCACGCAAGGAGAGCAGATGGGGAGAGTCACCCTGCTCGATCCAGTGGCCACCTGACTTTTGAAGCAGCCCAGGGTACACTTCTGGGCTGGGAGTGCACACTGCTGAGTGATGTCCAGCTTCTTATCCATGGGTAATGCCAGTACCTTCTCCACTGCTTTCAATCCATTCATCCCTCAGACTGAATTGATTGATACTGGGCATTGCCTCAAGCCAGGTGCAGGACAATTTTAAACTTCATTATGTTTGTACATGCCAACTCCTCAGGCCTGTCAAGGTCCTCTGGATGGCATCCCTTACCCTATATCCGATTGAACCACTCAGCTTGGTGTCACCCACAAACTTCCTGAAGGTGCACTCAATCTATGCCATTAGTAAAGACATTAAATACTATAGGCCCCAAAACAGACCCCTGGGGGGGATACTACTCAGCACTGGTTGCAGTCATACAATTCCTTGCAATCTAATAGTCTATCCATCAAATCCCCATCAATTTGGAAGCAAAAGCATTGGAAGGGACAGTATTAGAGGCTTTACAGAAGTTAAGTGACCTCACTTACCTTTCTGTTGTTCCCCTGATGCAGTCACTCCATCATAGGCAGCCATAGATTAGTTGGGCATGATTTGCTCTTGGGAAAGCTGTGCCAGCTGTCTCTAATCACCTTCATACAATCACCTCTCATGTGCTTTGACATAACTTACAGCAGCACCTGCTCCATGATCTTGTCAGGCACAAAGGTGAGGCTGACTGGCCAGCAGTTCTAGGGTCTGGGTGTGATAATCCCTTCCCTCCAGTGCCTGGGACAGTTACAGGTAGTCAGTCACTGAATGGTAGTCACAGCCTGATTATCATCACTTTTCAAACATGATGGAGACGTGGCTCAGCCATTACGCCTGCCAATTCCTTCAGAACCCCAGGATGTTTCTTAGACTAATACATACAGATGTATTCCAAATCATCCTTGTATTTCAAATTGTTATGTACCTACTTGATATTCTTTTCTTTTCCAGTCTCCTGCTGCTGTTGGCAAACAGACTTTAATGAGATTTTGATAAGAAAATTTCAACAGAAGCAAAAAAACCAACACTACTCCACAAGTTATTTTATAGGTTTAATATTTATTTTCATAACCATTTTGATGGAGGAGAAAAATGTAGGATCAGAGGTTAGAAAGACCATAAGGTATACTGGTTCCAAAACAGCAAGACAGCCTGCAATTAAATCTTTGTGCCCTTGGACTACATTCTCTTCCTGCATGTAGGCTGGTGAATATCCAACACCACAGTGGCAAAGCAGATCTCACACTCCCCTCTAGTGACAGAGTGTGACCTCCTGAGGCCTCTCAGCAGCCTGGACAGCTCTGCTGCTAACACAGCTGCTCCTAATAGGATCCTACACAGCTACAGCTGGAGTTCTTAGTTTTATTTTAAAGTAGGATTAACACTAAGTTAAAATACCTCATTTTAGACATGAAAGAATTTTTGGTGGGCTACTATATTGCTAGTATATTTGCCCCTTGTGCTCATATATTGCTTTACATCAGTTATTATTATGAAATCATTTGAAATTGGTGTAATAAATGTGTGCATTGCAGCATACATGCACTGAAGTTATCATATTTGTCCATGTGTCCTTGAATTCTACACATCCTTTTACTAATTCTTTTCCTGCAGTGACCATGTCAGCACAAGCCTGGAATTACCATCTTAAAGTGTTCTTCTCCAGATATAATTTTTGTTTGGACATATACTACCTTAACACAGTGCCTGGAAAAAAAAAAAAAAGTCTCCATAGCTGCTGAAACAGCAGCCTGCTGACACATGATGCTTGGAACATATTTTCTGAGGCACCATTTATCATTGTCATCACAGTGCACAACAACTTATTACAGTAAGTTGCTCTTCCATATCACAACCTTAAAAAGACAATGCCAACTCATAATTGTATTACTAGGAGTTAAAAGAATCTTAAAATAATTCTAAAAATAAAATCTATATATACTAATGAGGGAACATAATCAACATAAAAACTATTACCTGCCAGCTTTAAAACTACATCGCTATAGCTAATTACATGGCTGCAGTAAAGGAATACTTTGCTTACTAAGAGCATTTGAGAGTCCTCAAAGCACTCTTAGGAGTGAGGAGATACAGCAAGAAACAGACTAACTTTGTAAGCCCCACAATTTGAGAAACACTCATCTATCAATCTGTAGAAAGAGGGAAGCCATGCTCCTCCTCCCCAAAATCACAGCCCTTGCTTTGCTTTATGCCTATCACCTGGCAATTTATAGTCCAGGAATTTTGTGGGCAGGTAGAGACTCCCGTTTATTGCTAGCATACCAAAATTAGCAAAATCTACTGAGATGCTGGAAGCACAGCAGCTCTAAAGAAGGGAAAAGGATTCAGTAGGACTGGGAATTGTCATTCAGCTCAGTTTCTAAAAAAGGTAATATGTTTTTGACCACTGGGCTTTAAGAGCTCCCAGAACAGATCCAAACCCAAAAAAAAACAAGGTACAAGAAATACTGAAAATACGCAGCACACAATTAAAGCAGTAGAGATGGTTCTTTCATTCAGGAGATGAGAAGACACAGAATAAATTAAGATCACACGAAGTTTGGTACTAGCCCAGAGGGACAGAATCTAAATGTAGTATCCCTGATGAGACATCATTCACAGCTGAAAAAAAACCTGGCAGAAAGAAGACAGTTGGAAAAAAAGTTGAGAAGGGCGGGAAGACTTTAATAATTGTTAATAGGTCAAATGTAGTTTAACTAGTTAACTTACTGTTCCTGCAGTGGTTTAGAGCACAGAACATTTGAGTTTTATCATTACCAACTTTTTAAAATGCCACATTTTACTCTTCGATCTAAATCACAGGGACTAAAAGAAAAGGACGGGAGGGTGAGCTGTGTAGAAGGAAAAAAACCAAACCAAACCATCAAAACAAAATTCCATCAATAAGCCAAACCAAAAACAAATAACGGCAAAAAATCTGTAGCTTTTGCTAGGTCCAAGTAAATGTGTTTTGTTCCACCACTTATATTCTTAAAAGGGTTTCATATTGTGAACCAAAAAATGGCAAATTATCAGCCTACATAACCTCAATGTGAGGAGTGCTGGTAGATTTTAATGGAAACAGCCTTATATACTTGTGACAATCCTACTTTTTTCACCACGTCCAAAGTTATTATTTTAAATGTGCATTTCATGGTTAAACATAATTTATTGGAACTGTCCTATAAGTGACAATTCTTATATGTTGGCCTAATTACTGACCTGATTCTGTAGATGTAAAAGTTTAATGTCAGAACAACCAGTAAAAAACAGACTGGATTTAAAAAAGAAAGCAAGGGTAGTTGCAGTATGAGTTATTTCTTCAGGAACACTCGCATATCGAATGACAGCTTTGACATCACAGCCCTTTTTGCTAACTGCTGTCAACCCTGTTTTTATCAGCATAACTATGGGAGCAGTACTTTTCCAGAGAGCTTGGTTCCCTCACCCAGCTTTCCATGAAGCTGCATAAACATTCACAGCACTACTAACACCAACGTTGCAGCGTTGGAGTTTTCTTAACTTTTAAGGTAGGTATAGTTTTTTGAGCATTAAAGGTCTATTAAAAGACCACTCTGTATGAAACAGATGCGAGTGCCAACTTAGAAATCTCGAAAGTCTGACCAAAAAAAGAAACAGCTGAAGAAAAAGAAAGGAAGTCAAACTACCTAAAGAAGCATAATATAAAATCAGCCTAAGACTTTAAACACAGCTGCCCTGCATGAATTTGTAATCACAAAATCGAGGCAACATGGCCCAGACTCTTTCACTAACTGAGCATCCCATCTATATCTGCGGCTCCACCGAACCATGCCCGCTACTGAGAGCTCAGCCCTCCACAACCCCTGAGCCGCCCTGTCCCGAACAGACTCGGAGAGTTTAATTTCCCCATCCCGACTGGAAAACCCCGGCGCTCCAGCCGCGCCAGGCCGGTGTGGCTGCGGCTTTAAGTGCCCGCGGTGCGGCTCCGCCCCGCGCAGCGCGGCCGCGCATGGGCGGACGGCGAGCGGCGCTCTTGGCGCGGCGCATGAATCCGGGGCTCGGCCGGCCGCGCCTGGAGCGCGGGGCTCGCACGGGCCGCTCCGCCCATGGCCTCCCCGCTGGTAAGGGCTCGGCCACGGCCCCCGCCGGCGGCCGCGGCAATCAGGATGGCGGGCAGGCGAGCCGCGGCCGGCGGGTATCGCCCAGCGCCGAGGGCTGCCCGGCCGCCGCCCCCGCTGGTGGAAACGCTCCGGACGCCGGGACCGGCGGCTCCCCCGCCGCGCGCGGGGCGTTAGCGGCCCCTGAGGGGCGGGGGAGGGCAGGGCGAGCGCCGCCGCCCCCGCCCGCAGCCTGACGGTGCGCACCCTCTCCCCAGGAGGACCCCATCCTGATCCGGCCTTTCCACGGCCACACGGCGGCGGTGACGGGCGTCGCCTTCAACGCGAACGCGGCGGGGATGGGTGAGTGCGGGGCCGGGCGCCGTTTGCTTTCCGGGCGGGGCAGCCCGCTCCCTCCTCCCTCTTCCCTCCCCAGAGCCGCCGGGCTGTTCCGGGTGCAGGTCCGGGCGCGGAGGCGGGGCGGGTTCCCGCGCCTTCGGGCGGGCTGAGGAGTCTCTGCCCCTTCCTTAAGCGACAACTTTTTGAGCAAACCACAAGGCGGGAGGAGGGGTTTGTCCCGCGGAGAGAGAGGAGGAGGAGGAGGAAGTAAGTGAGGGGAGCGCCGCGGCCGGAGGGGCAGGGGGCTGCTCCGTGCCTCCGCTGCCGCCCCGCTCCCCCGCGGTCTCCCTGGAATCTGCCGGGCCCACCACGGAGGGCTGGCTGCAAACTCTGCCGGCGGCCCGAGCCCGAGGCTGGGAGTGCCTGCAGCCCCCTCCGCCCCTGGGCGCGGGGAGAGCCGGCAGGAGTTCACGGACCCCTCTCTGCTAAGGAGTTGCTTTTAACTACCTAAGATGAGGATCCGTCTGGCGAGAAGATGGACGTGGGTCCGCAAAAGCTGCGTGTTTCTCGGCTTCTTAATGATCGCTTACTTTGTGGTCGAGCTATCGGTTTCTTCCTTCGGTGCCTCCCTCGCCGGCAAGAGCATCACTAAAGGGAAATGGGAGAGGCGCTTTTCTGACAGAGCAGAAGCAGCTGTCGATTTGGCTCGTCCAGTTTATGACAAACCCCCACCCGATCCTTATGCTCCAGGAGAATGGGGTAAGCCCTTTCGCCCACAGCTGAGTCCTGAGGAAAAGAAGCAGGAAGAAGAGCTGATTGAGAAGTATGCAATAAATATTTATTTAAGTGATAAAATTTCTCTCCACCGGCACATTGAAGATAACCGACTGAGTGGTTGTAAATCTAAATCTTACAACTACAGAAGACTGCCCACGACATCTGTTATAATTGCTTTCTACAATGAAGCCTGGTCAACGCTACTGCGGACGATACATAGTGTGCTTGAAACATCACCTTCAGTGCTTCTGAAAGAAATTATACTGGTGGATGATCTGAGTGATAAAGTGTATTTGAAGGCTGAACTCGAAAAATACATAAGCAGTCTGAAAAGAGTTCGCTTGATAAGAACCAACAAACGAGAAGGATTGGTTCGTGCACGCTTGATTGGCGCTACCTTTGCTACTGGTGATGTTCTCACATTCCTGGATTGTCACTGTGAATGTGTTTCCGGCTGGCTGGAACCACTGCTCGAGAGGATTGCTGAGAATGAGACTGTTATTGTTTGTCCTGTCATTGACACCATTGACTGGAAAACATTTGAATATTACATGCAAACGGCAGAGCCCATGATTGGGGGGTTTGACTGGCGGCTGACGTTCCAGTGGCACTCGGTGCCTAATCACGAACGTCTCAGGCGCAAATCTGAAACCGACCCAATCAGATCCCCAACTATGGCTGGTGGCTTGTTTGCTGTCAGCAAAAAGTATTTTGAGTACCTGGGAACCTATGATACAGGAATGGATGTTTGGGGAGGGGAGAACTTAGAATTATCATTTAGGGTTTGGCAGTGTGGAGGCATGTTGGAAATTCACCCATGCTCCCATGTGGGCCATGTGTTTCCAAAGCGTGCACCCTATGCTAGACCAAATTTCCTTCAGAACACGGCACGTGCTGCTGAGGTGTGGATGGATGAGTTCAAAGATCACTTTTATAACAGAAATCCTTCAGCAAGGAAGGAAAACTATGGAGACATTTCTGAAAGAAAGATTCTTAGAGAGCGTTTGAAATGCAAGAGTTTTCACTGGTATTTAAAAAACATATTTGCTGAGTTGCACGTACCAGAAGATCGTCCTGGCTGGCATGGTGCTATCCGCAGCACAGGAATACCTTCGGAGTGCCTTGACTATGTCTTACAGGAACATAATCCTACCGGCTCTCACCTTTCTCTCTTTGGTTGTCATGGTCAGGGAGGCAACCAATTTTTTGAGTATACATCAAATCAGGAGATTAGATTTAACTCTGTAACTGAGTTATGCGCTGAAGTCCCTGAGCGTGAAGACTTCATAGGTATGAGGAGCTGCCCAAAAGATGGATCTCCTATCCCAGAAATTATTATCTGGCACTTCAAAGAAGATGGGACTATTTATCATCCTCATTCAGGGAAGTGCATTACTGCTTATCGTACGACTGAGGGGCATGCTGATGTGCAAATGAGAACTTGTAATGCTGGAGATAAGAATCAAATTTGGAAATTTGAGAAATAATCACTGCTGGTTGTCTAAGTCAAATGGACTCTCATCTCCAAGCCTTTTACACGTGTGAGCAGATAGCAATGTTTGATTGAATACCTTGGAATGTTTTCAGTTGTGTTATAGTGGTGTAGAAACTGTTTACTGTGATGAACTGTATGGAAAGCAAAAGTAAATAGTGCTGTTTGGTTTCTAAAACATGGATTAGAGGATCTAATGCCGTTTATTTTTGTAAAATTTGGATCCATTATTACTTTGCTCAGTCTTGATTATGGTAAAACAAAGGCTTCTGAGTGGACTGAGGAGGGATTTTTTTCATCTTAAAATTATGCAATAAATCCTGCAAGATAATGCTACATATAAACAAAAAAATTTTACTTACAGAAGTAAAAGTTAAGGTTCTTGCAGTGGTATTCGCTGACCTATGTTGCAGATACATTATAAAATATGTATCTTAACACCGCTAGTAATGCTACAGTAGCATGTTATTGAATGGATATTGATGTGGAAAGTCGAATCTAAGCCTTGTAACAGTCTGCATTCTTCTGGTAAGGTACATGCTGTTAAGGGTACTATATTATATAGAAGGACAGGAAGTTTATTTATTAGAAGGGCTTTGGCACTGCTTTGCAGTCTTGTACCAATTGTAAAAATTTTACCCCGTGGGGCTTAGTCAGGAGCTCTCATGCATTTAGAGGAGAGTGTAGTAGCAGTGGAACCAAAGACATGCAGGTGATATCAAAAATGGAAGAAATAGGGATGTCTACAAGTGAGAATTTTGTTTAAAGGTAACGGAGGAGGAAAGAAACCACAAAATTGCCTTAGCTACTGCTGTTAATTAGCTATATATTTAATATATACATTGCCTCTGTGTAAGCTTTTCCATGTTCAGCCCCACATCCTAGGGACACAAAAGTTATGTAATTTAGACCATGTTTGAGTTTTTTGTTGTTTGTTTTTTGTTTTTTTATTCATTTGGTCTGTCAGCAAGCTAGAGGAAGGTAACATAGAGGAACATTTGGACTGTTATATTTTTTGTGTTTTGGCAACAGCTGGCATGGGTCAGCCCTAGGAAGAGTTTTGAAATAACACGGCATAAGGTGCCTCTTTCTAGTCAAAACAATACCACTGGAGACCTTGGGTAAGGCTGGGAAGCTGAAGCCTCTTACATGAGGGTAATTGAAAAGACAAAGAACAGCTTGCAGGAAACTAAGATTTGTTGGTAAGGAAGTTCACGGAATTACTTGTCTAATTTTTTTTCTGTTGTGTTGAGTTTTTTGAAGAATACTGATTCTTGAATCATGTCACTAATCTGTTTTGATTATGCTTATAGATGGTAGATGTGATAGATATATTGTGTACTTGAAAAGAAGTCTTGTGTTAGTATCTGTATTTTAGTTTCATAAGATTTAAGTTGAACATTTTTCTTAATGTGTTGGGCATTCCAGCTGTTTGGTTATTTTCACTGAAGTGATAAATGTTCTTTAGTAGCCATAGTGTAGTGAGTCTTTACATGGGACTGGTAGGTAGAAACTAAAATTAGTGAGCACTAGGAATCTGGATACTTGAGGAATGTGGTGGTGTTAGTAGGTAGGAGGGTTAAAAAGGGACAAGTGAGACTTAGTGTAGTTGAAGTTTTGCCAAAAATAAAGGAAGAGTAAGTTAGAACATATTCTTGAATCTTAGTGACTTGAAAGCTTTGAGAGGTTTGGCTGGAAGCAGGTTAAGATAGAAGGTGAACAGAAGAAAATTTGGAGCTGGGAATGCAGCATTGAAGCATAAAAATGCTTGCCACTGTGTGGCATGGATTCTTTTAAGACTTTAATTTATTTTTAGGCAGTTACTTGGAATTTGATTTTTTTTCCCTTTTTATCTTCCTTTTTTTCCCCTGAGTTGTTTTTTTTTTGTTGGTGTTGGGATTTTTGTTTGTTAAAAAAAAAGGGAACTTTTTACTACATAAGGGAAACATTCCTGAAAATTTGCATTCCACTTTGCAGCAGGAATTCTTTTGTAGACCTGCAAGTTATGAACCATTTATCAAATTTTAAAAGGGACTGTAGTGGGACAATAAATTATATAAAGTATGTGCTTTTGTGAAAAGTTTGCTGTAGACTGTTAAATTCAATAGAAATGACAGGAAAAAGGCCTAGGTTCTCCTATGTGACAAATCATAAACAGTATGTGCAATGTATGTTTCTTCAGATGAAAGGAATTAAATGGTGTAAATATAGACTATGCAAATTTTATACAGTTATTTTTTTTAGCACTTGGCAATAACTGTTTTTTGTATAAAGAATTACCTTCAAGTTAAACCTGACATTCAAAGTGTTCCTTATCTATTTAAGCAATAATTATAATTGAATCTGCCTCTGAGTTTGAAAAGTTACTCTCTCTATGTATCTGAATCCTTCCTCTTCCCTTTCAATTTTTGGAGTTATTTAGAAACAAACTGAGAAGAACACAAAAAACCCAAATTAAATGACCTGGCCCTAAAAAAAAAAAAAAATCTTCCCAATGGGAATATAAAAAACATTGAAGTAAAAGGAGGAGGACTAGAAAAAGAGAGAGAAAGAAAGAAAGAAGGAAAAAACAAATAACACCTTACCATTTCAATACTCCTATCCAATTATTTTTCAGTATGAACAGATTTCTGGAAAATCTGAAACTCTGAATGGTTTTCTATTCTGTCAGACTTTGAAGATTTGGTGAATGCTTGTAAATATTTTAAACTACTGATTCTAAGTGACTTAAAAGAAATTGAATGTAAACTTAACACTGAATAAATGTGGAGGGCTTTGGGATTTCTTTTGAAAAAATAAAATCCATAAAATTAAATGTTAGCTAGTGTGCGGACTCTTCTCAGTTCTTTTCCTCTTGTGTACGTGCATATAGAATGCAAAAAGAACTGCCAATAACTTGAACTTATGGGAGTTATTAAAAATTTTTCCTATTTTATTTACTGTACTTAGAACTCCAGATTTGGTTTTTTTTGACAGAGATTCAATTGAATTATTTTTCTCCAAGTAGGAAATACTGCAATTCATTGCAAAATGTGTTTGTATTGTGATGTTGTACCATGTCATTGAGAGCTGCAGCATTCCTGTAAAGTGTTGGGGTTTGTTGGCAGTGGTAGGGTTTGAATATTCACACACCATTGTATGCACTCACTTCTGTCTGCCCTATAATTCTTGCACTGAGTGGTTAATTTTATTGGAGGTACTAAAGTATTTTGAGAGATATACATTGAGCTGTTAAAGCCTGAGTATTTCTCTTTTGATCTATGCACAACTTTGTTAGTCAGCACTTGGTTGTTGTGGGAAATGAAAATAATATCTGCACACCACTTTGCTGTAGAGCTCTCAGCTTGGTCTTTGCATAAGGCCAAGTCTTTATTTTTTGGTGTTCAGTTCTGTCATGACTCATCATCCGAAAATGAAATTATCCAGTGATGTATCTGCTATACATGGGTGTGTATAGCAGCATTGGTGTTTAATGAAAAAAAGCACTCAGGTTATAAACTGGAGTAAGTTGTATGTTGGAGTCAGCCCGAATTTTTAGCTTTCTTCATTTGAGTTATATTTTGCAGTTGATCATAGTAAGGACAAATTGTCTTCCACCTCTAAACATGGTTCTGGTTATGTCATGTATTCTCTGAGGAACGACAGGCCTATTTGTGCTATAGCACATCCTAAAAAATTTCTTCTGGACCTTCTGTGCTTTTTTTTTTGTTTCCAATCCAATATTTAAGCATTGCATAGACAGCAGGGAGTGCAGAGGGAAAATAAGGAAGATGGTCATGGATGTCCCACAGAAAGGAGAACTTCACTGCTTGTGTCTCATTTACCTTGGAACAGCCCATCTATGAGATAGCAAGCTACAAGAAACCAGGCTCTGAATGAATGGTGCTGTCGTCTTTCTAAAAATATTTCTCTCCATTTTTGGAACTGAAAGCTGATAGTACACAGCCTTCATGCAGTTCATAAGATACCACAAGTATTTGGTAGTTCATCAATGATTAGTTTTAGAAGCCATCAGTCTTGTCTGTTTCACATTTCCAACCTGATGCCTATTTTAGCTTATGTTTCACTTCTTCCTTTTAGTCTTACTCCACTGCAGATCACACTTTTCAGAATCAAAGGAAAAAACAATTATTTCAAGTACAATTAGAAAGACTCTGCTGTAAAACAGGGTTATGAAAAGTTGAAGTGGGGGGGAAAAAATATCCTGTATTTCTGTCAAATATAGGCCTGTTGATATGGACACAGAGATAGTCTGGTCTCGCATCTTTTAGCAGAAGCTAGTCTTTTAGGAATAAAAATAATGTCTTTGTATCAAATTCATAAAGGGAATTTAATAGTTAATATTTAATGTTCTAATATGCTAATATTTTGTTTGAGGCTTGCCTTGACATGTGATAACAAGGAAACTCAATTTTTTTGTGCTATGTTGGTGCTTGAAAGAAACTGGGAAGAGAAAAGCCATCTTCATGTACTCTTCCAACTTCCAGGACGCCCCTGTTCTTCCTCTCCCTTCTTTTCTCTGCTAGGGTTAGGAATTTGACAACTGAGTGGTGGGAGTGTGAATACCTTGTTTTTATTTATGTCTATATACTAGCACTTAGCAGCGATGAAGATGATAGGGATAGGAAAATCACATACACCAGTTTAATTAAACTGCTTACTGTCTTTGCTGCTTATAGTTCCTGAAAAGGATCAAGCTCTGGTAGAAGTTAGGTTTGCCTTTTTGGCTGAAGGTAGTATAGTTCACCTGTACAATGACTGCAAAAATCCCATCCTCAAACGTGCTCTTTCTATTTTTAGACTGACAACTTCATGTTCTTTTTTGAACTAGACAAATGTTAGTATTATAAAATTGGTACTTAAATAGGATTACGGAATTACCATATATCGATATCTTCACTCAAGTGTAGATATCTGAAGTGTTGGAAGTCATGTCTTGAGTTTAAGTTGGCATGTTTTTTTTGGAGTTAAACACTTGGTGCTTGAAACAAATTCCATCTCAGAAGTCAAAATGAGATTACTGAAGATTTTGTCTAATGTTCTTAGGAGTTGGTAAAACCAAATCTGGAATTGTATTTACTGATGTGCATGATATTAGGCTTTGAACATTTTGCTCTATATCTTCAAAGTACTTGTAAACCAATTGGCTTAGTAAGCGGGAGAGCTACTTGTTAAGAATTATCCTTAACTTCTCCCAGTCTTGTGACATCCTTCTGAAAGCCTGATGTTGGCATTACTCCCTACCAGGTTCTGTTCAGGCTAAGTATCCATTAAAACCTAATAACTCCTCCCTCCCCATAATACCCATTAAGTTCTCTGTTGAATCCAAATCCACAGTTGTTAGCTCTGACTTTTATAAGAACAGGAGCAGACTCCTAATATCTTTTACTTCTTGCCAGTTACCTGCTCTGTGGATAGGCTTCTTATATTGTGGAAGCTGACGACACAGTGCAGAGCCTACAGGTTTGAAGGCCATGCAGAAGCACTGACAAGCGTAGACTTCTCACCAGATGGGCAGGTGCTGGCTTCAGCTTCTCATGATCACACTGTCAGGCTTTGGATTCCTTGTATGTGAGTATAACTGAGCAATTCTGGATATGTGTTTTGTTACTGTGCAGTGTCAATATTGGAGGCTTTACTCAAGTTTCTTTTTCCTTCCCACATGCCTCGGCTTTGACAGAAACAGAGATGGGAACCACAAGCAATGCAGTTCTTTACTGTATTGCTTTGTTGTTTTCTGAATATTCTGTAGTTGCAAAAAAATAAGTAACAACTCAGAGGTCACAATTTCATGTGTGTAGAACTATGCTTCATAATAGTTCTCTGGCTTAAAGATTATATTCTAATTAGGATTGCATGGCTAAACTTCATTTTGGGGAGACAAGTGATGAAGAAAACAATAGTTTTTTGGAAAAAAACCCAATTAATTAACTTGTCTTATCAGACTGTTCTTGAGTAGTAGTAATTACGAGCTATTCATTATGATCTTAGACTGATGTTATTTGAACTTTCAAGCGCTTTATAGATTACTATGTAAAAAAAACTCTTTCAAATGCTAATGAGACTAAAGGCCAATGCTGCTATTTAATTGCACTGTTCTGTAAAACTGGTAATTGGTAAACGGAACTTAAAGAATGTTATTCTAATAATATTTAAGTAAGTAAAAAAATTATAGTGACATTAAGATTTGGCCTCTGTATACTGCTTTTTCATTTAGGTCTGATTCTAAATATGCTAACATTGAGTTTTATGGGGATTTAAACTCTTTAATATAATTGTGATTTGTGACTTGGTATTTGGGGTTTCATTTTATTTTCTTGCCCCCCCCCCTTAGTCATGGAGAATCATCAGTACTGAAAGGTCATACAGCATCTGTTCGGAGTGTGAGCTTCTCCCATGATGGCTGCTCTGTAGTTTCAGCATCCAATGATAAATTAATAAAAGTATGGAGTGTTAGCTATCAGCGTCATTTGTTTACCCTATTCCAACACACTGGTTGGGTTCGCTGTGCCAAGTAAGTGTTGTTTTTATTCTCTTGGTAAAATAGAATTCCTAACAAAGGGGACTTTGTATCCTAGGGTAGAAATAAGAGAAGTAAAGTTTGTGAATGACAACTAATGATCTCTCATCGATAATTAAATTTTAATAAATGAACCTTATGCACACGAGTTTTGTATAGGTCTCCTAGCTGAAGTATGAAGGCTTGTTCTATATTAATATACATACATACTAAATCAGTTACTGTGTTCATTCTATTACATTAAAGAACAAATCGGGTCTTCTGTAATTTTTTTCAGTCAGTATCCTGTCTTTTCCCAATTTTGTTTCATTTTTTGTTGTATTAACTTATTTCTCAGTGCTTGTTTCTAGATTTATCATGCATTGTAGGGGTTTTCTCAACTATTCTTGGAATAGTAGTGGCATTAAAGAATGGTCATGAATCCAGATGAGTTAAGCTTACATAATTGGAAAAGATAAAAGAAACGGCCTTTGGACTGCAAGTTAGGATTCATATTGTTTAAAGACAGGACAGCTCTTCAAAGGCAAGAAAATATTGTTTGCTGATTTTTAAAAAAATTCCTTTCCTCCGTATTAATGGAAAATCTGCAGCTAAGAGAGGCCTGATATAAGCCTCCTGAGAAAAGAATTTAACACTGGTGAAGTGCAGACCCCTACAAATTTCAAAGTGTCGACTGTTGAAAAGAAAAAGGAAAGCTCTAGGAAATCACATGTGAAAGTTCTTGAACAGTTTTTTAATGTCATTTTGCAGTTGCTCAATCAGTGAAATAAGAGTGCCTGAGGAAGTCATAGACAAGTCAATTTTCCTGTTTAAAAACCTAGTCTGCAAGTCTAGGAATAATCGTGAATGCTTTGCCCGCTATTTGTAAGCTTAGAAAGAACTCAGAGAACATAAATATAGATGAACATTGAACAGAAGATTCTACTGTGGCCTCTGTCTTTTTACCTATAGTTTTCTAAAATAATCTCTTTGTCATCTGAAGTTGTTGAAGTTGAATCTTAGGTTGCTGATACCTTCCCCCAACTCCCTCTCTTCATCTTGCTTATGGCTCTGTGTTTAATTGTAGTTGATTGTGAAATGGGGCAGAGTGGAATAGGAGGAGAAGCTTTTTTTTTCAGTTTTATTAATCCATGATAAATACTAGAAGTTCAAATGTTACACAACCTTATTTCAAACAGGTTCTGGGTTTTTTTGCTGCTTATGTCTCTGATGCTAATCTAGGCAGGATCAGTTGTTAAGTCATGTATACACTTTCATATTCCAGATTTTCACCTGATGGAAGATTAATAGCATCTTGTAGTGAAGACAAATCTGTTATCATCTGGGATACAAGAAATAAAATCTGTGTTAATAGCTTCTCAGATTATGAAGGGTAAGGTCTAGAAAAATCTAGGAAAAAGAGGAAAAATATAATAGTGTGATTTTAATGGCATTTATTTAATATTCTGTGTAATTAACATCTATATACGTTAAATCTGAAAACAGATTGGAATTCTACCACTCATGTACCACTCAATAAAATTATTTTACTCAAGTAAAAGAATTCATATAGTTTTCTAAAGAGGTTAACTGGCTGCATTTATCCAGGTATTTTCCAGCAATAAAGAGATAATCCAAACAGAATTGAGATTACACTTGGATTTTGGAATGTTTCCATGTTATCCCTCAGTTTTGATAATGTTATTTGATGTTGGATGCTTCAACAGGAAGAAAGCTTAAAGGCTTTTCCAATTGTTGATGAAAATAATTTTTGTTACCTTCAGTGGTCTGCCTTATTTAAGTTTAAAAAATAATTGCTTTTACTTATATGCAGTGTTCCTAAACATCTTGGATCCAGAGTTTGAGTTAACAAGTCAGTGGAATTTTTATCTTGCATATGTGCTTTGCTGCACACGGCTGCCTTTGTCCTTTTTCGAGTCCAAAATGTTGTTATAGCTAGATACTCAGTTCTTAGACAAAATTATTTTACTTGTTGCTTACATACTCTTTGCAGCACTATCTTCTAGGAACTTTATACTCTAGCACAAACTCTGATGGTTGGACTTGGTTCAATTATACAGTATTTTCAGCAAAAGTGAGATTATGATTTATCATGAACATCTTGCTTTCTTGCTTGCTTATTTCAGTTACTTGAAATGCCTAATTTGAGTTTCCATACATGTAGGTTTTACACAAGTTTGTGGCAGCTCAGTGTTAATATTATGGGGTTTATATATATACACAGCCCTAAATATTTCTGTGGAAACACAACATAAATCTGTTCTTATTAATTATATTTAGATTTGCAACTTTTGTGGATTTCAACCCAAGTGGAACATGTATAGCTTCTGCAGGTTCCAATAACACAGTGAAATTATGGGATATTCGAACAAATAAGCTACTGCAGCATTTCAAAGGTAAAAACAATGTAGCTTGTTTTATTTTCTTTACAATGGGACTATTTGCAATTAAATGTGATTTATTAAGAGTATGTTATTTCATTCCTTTCTGGGGAAAGTGGACAAACAAATCATATTGACATGTTGTAAGTATCTTTTTGTAGTTTAGCAACCCTAAGAATCCAATCTGAGGACTTTTTATTTCTTTGCTTTTCTTAATTTTTAGAAGTGAACTAAGCAAATACTGTGGAGAGTCTTCTATGCCCCAGCACTTTGGTTGTTTTTCCCTTAAATGAAGTAGCTCTTTGGGAAGTAGAAAAGAGCAAAGAAATAAAGTGTGCTTATCCTCTTAGTAGATATCTACAGCCTTTGAATATTGTCTTCTGTAAATCAGTTCACAGAGCAGGGGTTAATTGTATATCATTCCATCCTTCCGGTAACTACCTCATCACTGCTTCTACTGACGGTACCCTTAAGATTCTGGACCTCTTAGGAGAAAGACTTATTTACACTCTTCATGGACACAAGGTATACACAATAATCCTCTTTAAATGGAGCTCTTAAGAGGTTGTTCAGTATCTTTACAAAGTGAAAGTAACATGCCATTGTGTCTTTTATCTTGCAATTTGCTGATAAAATTTAGTGGACAGTACGGTGTTGTATTAATGCACCTTGTCACAAGTGGTTAAGGAATTGCATCAGGTTTTGCCTGTAACCATGCTTTTTATCTGTCAATGTTACATGCTTGATGTTAAGTAAAAGCTCATGTTCTGAATTCATTAATAATTCACTTGATTTTCAAAATCATGATATTTGGCACTTCAGTCATTTTGTCTATTGAAATATAAAATGTAAGGATAATGCCACTATTTTCCTAGTACAGATTGTTGTAATTGTAATGTAGCATCTTATGAAAACATATTATTAACGTATATTAACTCTTCGATCAAGTTTTGCAGAAATTTGACTACAGTAAAATTGTTCCTTATTTTATTAAAATTGAAAAATCTATTATATTAGGTAATAGCATCAGTGTTTTTCTCTTTGCACTAAAATACCATGATTGCAGTAGTAGCCTAATTTTACTGTATGCTATTTTTTTTTTCAGGGACCTGTACTTTGTGTGGCTTTTTCAAAAGGCGGTGAAAAATTTGCCTCAGGTGGAATGGATACTCAGGTTTGTGGTATTGTCTCCTTAAATGAAATGTCTAAATGTTTATTACAGTGGATGGGAGTTAAATATAGTATGTCACAGTAACATGCTAATTACTCACATGCATTTTATCTGCTAGTGTGTTATATAGACTTTCCATTGGATGTTATGATGAGGAGAAAACTAGTCACTTCTATTTTACATATTTAAAGGAAGGATTTTTAACTGAGAATATTTAAAGTTGCAATTCATGTCAACAAAGTAGTTGTGTTGCAATTAATATTAAGGTTTAGCTACTTTGTTAGGTTTTCACTGCTCTTAAAGTCCTTACTCTGTAATTATTGGTTTTAAGTTGTATTACTGGGAAAACTTTGGCTAGAATTGGGAAAAAAAAAACCAAAAACTTCTTGTGTTACCTTTACTTATTTACTTTGATGAAACAGTAAAGTATGTATAAAGGGAAGAAGAGTCATTAAGTATTTAAAAAAAAGTTAAGCAATAAGTCTTATTAATCTCCACCTGCTGTAATAAATCTCAAAATTAAGAACAAATATTATCAAGCTTGGAATCATCTCTATCAGATTCATAAAGTTTCCAAAAAGAAAGAACTTTTGTAGCACAAGATTTACATTTTTCAGCCTGAAATGTTCCTTAATATTAGTTGTCTTTTTTGTTGTTTCCTGTTACAAAAAGCTAAAAGCTCAATGTAGATATAAAAAACTATGCTGTTGAAATTAAGATCTTTTCGGTTTACCATAAGTCATGGCTATGTTCTGTTTTTTGGAGTTCGAAATAAATTTCAGCTAGTAGCAGAGGTGGTCTTGGGAAATAAAAAAATTGCTTTCTATCTATATATGTTAAGTAAGAAGTACTGCCAAGACTTGAAGTTATTGGAAGAATGAAAATGTTATCAAACATCCCATATGAATTTTACAAGCAGGGAAAAAAAGCCACAAAAGCCAACCAAGAATGAGGGAAAGATAATTAGTTATATCTTGACCCAGTAGTATGATCTTTTGTTTTCCATAATAAAGTTTTAAATAAGATTTTAAGTCCCAAAATGCATCTTAAGTCCTACATGATTCTGAATTGTTGATCTTACCGTCTGTGAGTATTTTATTTTGGGTTTTGTGACTGTTGGTATCTTATACTTAACTTGAGAGGAAAAACGGTGCATGTAATTCACTAGGTCACATGGCAGAGGATTAATCTGAGAAGCTCTGATGAGGGCAAGGACCTCCAATATTAAGCCTAATACAGCCTCCCCGTTGAATGCCAGCACACCCTGGGAATGCCTGTCTTAGTACAAAATTCCTTTGAATTTGGGCCCCCTGAATGACATGTGTGTCCAGTGCAGTCATGTCGTTGCCTTTTTCCTGCCCTGATTTTCTGTTGTAGAGCTTCTGGGGCATGAGAACATGGAGAAAGTAGGTAAAAAATCTATGTCTCATGTTCCTCAGCAGTTTGATATAATGGGTTCATGCTGAATATATGAAAGGGAAGATCCAGTTTTATCAGGAAGCACTTCCTTAGTTAAGTTTTGAATTTAAAAAGTAGTCATAGTAGGTCAAATAACTGTTTAAATTACCTAAAAAATGGGCCTTCCTGTGTTGAAATTTTTCCGTTTGTTTTATCAGAGTTTTGATGGGAGAGGAGTACTTACTTTGCTGCAACTTTCATTTTTCTAAGTTTTAAAATATGCTAACCACTGTTGCATAACTACCAAGGTGTATATCTTTATCTATAGTAAGCATAAGAACTTTATTCCTCAGTGTCTATTTTCTTTTGGTGTATATACACATGTACTTCTCAAACATCCTGTTTTGCTGACCTGTCACAGCCAGGTGTGCCAGGAGGATGGTTGTGGGACTTCTCAACTCACTGTGATTGTTGGTTTACTGTAATTGTAGGGTGTTTTTGTTGGAAAAGTTCTGCTGGCAGATCAGCAATGTCATGCTTATGAACAGAGGCTGGCCATAAAAGTGTTATCTTCTACCCCTCATGCAGTACCCAAAATACACTGTCTGTTCACAGCATGAGTTGGAGGCAGCTGATACATTCGAAGTTTATAGAAGACTGCTTCCTTCATATGTCTATTATTTCAAGACTATGAAGTTTTCAAACAACAGATCCTTCCATACCTTGCCATCAAAGAAGTAAAACCAGTATCTCTGCTTCTTGTATCAAGTTTCTGGTTGCTGTAGAACCAGCTGACAGCCTTGTTCAGAAGCAGGTTAAATATTTGAGACAGACACTGGATACTTTTGTTTCTTTTTATTTGCTTCTTTCCTCAAACAAAAAAGATCTCAAAGTGTAGTGTTCTGAAGTTTGTGTTCCTCACCTTTTTGGCTATACGTGCACATGGCAATTTATTTCATTAACCTCTTGCAATGGAAACCATAAGATCTTTTATGTGAAAGAGCAAGTTACACCTATTTGTTTAGAAAGTAGTAGCCTATTCAGTTACTATGTAGAAGAGACAACTCATATCTGATGAAGGCCTTGGTGTGAAGGGATGCGCTTCTTTATGAAAATCCATCTTTCTAGGGTTGTACATATTGCTTTTGCACTGCAGTTGAGATACTCAAGGCACATGTGGATGTTTCCATGCTGGTTTTACTCTTACTAATTTTTTTATCTGTAATGATGAAGCTGCGGGGATACGGCCTTTGACTTTAGAACAAAATGAAACGTATTTAGAGGTTGAGCAGCTCAAAAGCCCACCCCTGATAAAAAGGAGCTTCTTCCTGCCTGTACTGTTATTTACACTCAGTGCTGAAACACTTAAAATTACTAAGCCAGCAGAAAATTAGCCTGAAAAAAAAAAGAGGGGAAATTACTAAAAAAATGTAAGTAACTTTATTCTAGACTGAATTATGGAAGTAGTAGAACCTACACAAATGAGGAAGGAAGGAAAGCAGGAGCTCCTGTGAAGCAACTGATCTATCTCCTAACAGCCCTGCAAGTGGCAGGTTCTGAGGAGGATTTAGGTAGTTTGACTGAGGTCTATGCATCCCTCTTTCACTGGTACTAATGTCTGAGTTAGTTTGGGTTCACCTTTATTGGTGCACTGTCTCCCAGTGCATATTCAGGGTCTTTAACTCAAAGGAGTCGTGAAAGATGTTGAACCTGAAATGAACTCGTAGTAATGCAGCTACTCGGGAATATATTAAAAATATGATAGAGTGTGCTTTAAATTTCTGTGAACAAATCTGTGATTTTTGTTGCTTAATAATTATTAATATCTGAAAAGTACTTCTAATGTCTGTCAAAAATATTACTGGCTGGACAGGGAAGTAATTTTAAGTTAGATTGTAGTGCCCTCTTTGTTTTTAATTTAGCTAGCAGCTGTAGATATCAGCATTGGGCTTCTGGTAACTTCTCAGTGACTCAAAATGCCTTTTTTCTTTTCTCCCTTCGTATGTAAAATAAGGAGTTCACAGGTCATGTAAGCTTAATTAAATTACTTAAGTATGCAATTATATTGTGACATGAGAGAGCAACATTGTGTGTTATGTTTTCATTTCTCGGAATATTCATAAAACTGGTTAGAGTACCTTTGGACTACCTCTGTTCCCTATGAACTTCTGCATTTGGTCGTTGTATGACTTGTATATCGTTTCTACCTAGAACATAACTAGGCAAAGTTTGGAAAAGAGATTCCTGTTGCTAAAACACTGGAACCAAGTGTTTTAGAGTTCTGTGTAACTCTCTCATTTCTCTTACTCCTTCAAACTTTCTTGTTAGACCTGCAAGCCTTTATAGGGGGCAGAAATTTAACAGTATATGATCCCTTGATCTGGTAGAAAAGTAACTTGGAACAGTTCAGTGGGACAGGAGTTTGCTTTGTTTTGTGATTATAGACATATTTTAGAGGTAATTTTTAAATTTTTTTTTTGAACTACGTCTTTTCGATTTGAAGTAAAGATAGTCTGATCTCTACTGCAATACAGGCACTTGCCCAGACTAAGACATCACTGTAGTATTGATACGATGCAGTGATCTACTGGTAATAACAGACTTTACTGAATTATGCTTTATTAATTAATTACTATTTTTTTTTTGTTACTGAGTTATGCGTTGAGCACTGAATAAACTTCAAGTAGTTACTGATACAAAGATTTCTTACAGGTATTACTATGGAAAACCAACTTTGATACTTTGGATTATGAAGATGTTCTCAAACACAATTTTAGAAGAACACATATTGATGATCCTCCTCATATTCTTGATATTTACCCAAGGTCACCTCATTTGCATGATGAAAATCTTAATTCAGTTGAGGTGAGTGCAATAAATTGTCTGATATAATAAACAAGAAGCTTCTGTGAACCCTGTCTGACATTTCTGGTTAAATATGTTTTATGTATATCAGAGAGCTTTTTATTGTTACGTATAATACTTTGGAAGCAACCATAATTTATGAATCCGCATTAGGTTACTAGGCAAGCTGGTGTTGGCAGGTTTATGCTGAAATTACTTTCATGCTTCTTCTGTGTCTGTACTCTACATTTGATTCAAGTAAAACATATGTGTTGACCTGGTTTCTGGAATAAAACTGCAAGTGTTGCAGAAAGCATCTGAATCTCCAATGAGCTTTAGAATACTTACCAAAATATGTCATTATAAGCAGGACAAAATGGTGATATTACTGAAAGTCAAATACTTGATTGTCACAAGCTGTTCCTCTTTCCAAGACCTTTAGGTGTTATGAGAAGGTCTTGATATCTATCTAAAAGACTTTCTAGGCTAGCAGCATGTTTTATGTCACTATGTAGTCTGATTTCCTCATATTTAATTCTTGAACTACTTTACTGTCAAACTATCTACTGGCATCTATCTAAAGTGTTGGAGATTAGGGAACCAAAGTGCAATGTCAAATGTTCTGTCAGCATTAGGAAAAATCCTACGGCTGTCAAGTAGTCTGAAAGTTATGCTCAATAGGTAAACAGTGCTGTGCCTTCAGTGAGGCCATTGTTTACACTTTGTGATAGTCTCTGATAGAGCTGGCTGGCTTCTGCATGGCAATTACCTATATTTTCTTCTTTTTTGATAGTCTCCAGGTTCCTCTAGTATTGAAGAAATGTATCTGGAGTAAATCTAGAAACTTTCTGATTGCTGTAATATGCTATCAGAGGACTATAGAAATTAACCATTGCCTGGTTGCCTACATAGAAAACGGAGATACTGCTGCCATGGCATTCGTTTCCTGCTCAGAGTTTTAAAACGGTGACATTTAGGCATTTGAGCTTTTTTATTGGATGTATGGGTGGGTGAGTTTGCAATATGAATACATGCAAATGAGTAGCACAAAGATTAAAAACATTTGCTGTAGGAAGGGAACTCTGATATAATCCATGACTAAGATTTCTGTGCCTGGTTCTATTGTCAAGTCAGATATGACGCTTTCTAATGCATAGCATTTTGGTCAGAACAGGATGACTACATGTATGACAAGCTTCATAAACAAACTTCCTTGGTGGAATTTCATGTTTCTTGTAAGGTAAATGAATGAAGTTAAGTTTACTGGTGCCAGCCTTCAGTATAGTTGGTCAGTGCCAGAACAAATTCAGTCATAGCATTTGCTGGCAGATTCAAGCCAGTCTTGCTGGAGCAATATTTTGCTTCAAGACTGTTCAAATTGCACCGTTATAACATGTACTAAACAAACACAGATTACAGCTGCAGGGGTCCATTGTTTTCTTTTCAGGTCAACATTTCCAGACCTCTCTGCTGCTTATGTGCCTAGCAAAGATGTAAATATACTTCAAACCAATTTTTCAGATTTTTTTTTCTTGTTCCTCGTCCTGGGTAAGTGAGAAGCTCTGGAAGAGCATTAATGAGTTCAGGCTAAAGTTAAACTAAGGCTAGGAAGCCTCATTATCAATACTGAAAGGGCTCATCAAGGACATTCAATAGTTGAATGTCAAGAAATTATTTATTAGTTAGCTTTAACAAATTTAACTTAGCTTTATGTCTACGTTTATTCATTGCTGCAACATTTGTGGCTGCATATAGGCTCCTGGGCTGCTCCACAGTACTGAAAGAGCTCTATGACTTTGTAAAAAGTGTATGTATAATATATAAAGTTTTGGACTCTGTGTTATATTTTTCTGGCCTGATTTCAAGATTTTAACAAGAGTTGCTGTATTTTCTATTTACATAATATTGTCACTAGAATATCTTTCTCTCAAGTAAACAAGAAGTATGTTATATTCTTGGAGACAAAATAGTGTCAGTTTCAACAAAACTCATTACTGTAATGTAATATATTTTTATATTTGTAAATTAAATAATATAGTAATAATGATTAGAATCTCTTTTGCAGCTAATTCTTAGAATTAATGTAATAATATAGTAACTGAGATGGTCTTAGGGTGAAATTATCAGATGTTCTTGCTCCGTATGTCTTATCTTGTTTTTTTGCTCCTCCTGTCTGCCTCAAAATTTGTGGGATTTTTGTTGTCATGATCAAGGATAGATCTCACCAACTAGACAAAAAAACATAATTTATCCAGGCAAAACTCATATCAGGTTACTGCCAACAGCAAAATGCTTTAGTTAGCATGCACTAATTCTTAGGTAGCACTATGCTTGAAATTTTTCAGTGTTCCATCTTCTTAACTATTTCCTCTTGTAACTGAGAAAAAGCATAATGCCTAGACTCACTGTGCTGTGTTGTACTCTGGAGAAGGAAAAAAAGAAAGAAATTTTGTCCTTCTTCACATGCCAAGCTCTTTCTAAGCCAGAGGCAATAGAGAAAATTCTAGCGTTAGGCTGTTCCACTGCAATTCCACTCTTGTCTTTCAATGACTCACCATATTTCTAATATATAAGGGAAGGGAGGAAAGGAATCACAGGCACGTCAGAGGGAGCTTCTGGAGATCATCTATTCCTCCTATCAGTGGTACATTGGTTCAGCTGTGTCTGGTTAGGAGGCCTTTGAATAGGGTTGGAGATTCCCCTCTCCCTCTGTGTGATCTATTCCACTACAGCACAGCGGTTGTAATGACAATTTTTTTCCTATTATCTTATCTACACCTCAGATAATATGCAGAACTGCTTCCTTTCTTATTATTTTCTTCCTTTCTCTTCATATTTCCATGTGAATAGGGTAAGATAATTGATCTTAACCAAACAGAAGTAACACTATCCTAAGAGACTCGATAACATACACAAGAGTTATAGGTAGGCAGAGGAGGCAGTGGGGAGATGGGATTTTTAAAATTATCAATGACTGCTTAAGGTTTGCTACAAGCCACTACAAAGTCATCTAAATGCTTGAGATGTGTTGTAATACATTGCCTTGAGTTATGCTCAGCTGGTTTAGTCACCTCTACAACAGGAATGAAGAGGGATTGCCTTAGGATAAAATTAAAATATTAGAACACAAAAAGTTCAACAGATGTACAGACAGAAAGAGGAAAGAAAGTAATTCTCCCCCTATTTTTAAAAATTCTTAATATTTTGCACTTTTCCTTTCATTTTTTTGTTTGTTTGTGGGTTTGGTTGTTTTGTTCTGTGGGGTTTTTCTTGTTGTTTTGGTGGGGGGGGGGGGGGGGGTTTTTTGGGGGGGGGGGGGGGGGAATAGGGGAGGGGGGGTGGCTTTTTTTGTTAGCTATTGCTCCTCTATCCCTGCTTGTCTCTGTGGCAAAGTCCCTGCAATTCCAGAACTTGATTCTGGGAAATAGAATATACAAAAATGGAGCTGGCTTAAAGTTTATTCAGCTGGGATCAGAGCCACAGTTGCAATGTTTTCACTTGTCACCTTTTGGAAATGCTGTTTTGTATAAAGCAGCTGGCACAAGGCCATTAAGAATTGCATGTATCATCTGGTGTTTTGCCTTCAGGATAGTGAGTGTATTTTGCCTTTTCTGATAACTTTTTCTTATTTGCTCTTCAATGCCTTCCTTATTTTTTTCTCTCTCCCTACCTAGTTTTTGAGGCCTAATTAACTTTTACAAGAAAATCATTAGTTGTGTCATCTCCTCAGCCCAGCGGTAGCCTTAATTTTAATGCAGTTTTGAATTTCATGTTCTTAACTTGTAAAGCTTCGTAACTGTCCTCCACCTGCACTGATCAATGTGATTCTTGAATATTCAAGTAGGTAGAGATTTAATGCTTTTAATCATTGCAATTTTTCAGACAACTTGGAAATGTAAGTAAATTATTTCTTCTCTAAAGGCACCTACTTTTTTCTGTTGACCACAGAGGTAATCTTAGGTGATTACCAGCTCAAATACAGGTGTCAAGCAGTATGGCTAAATTTCACTGAGATAAATCCCAGTTGTTGTCTCTGTTTGACATAAGGTCCTGGTGGAATTATTTGAAAACAGTATGTTTAATCAGTTATGCAGTTTTAGTGGAATACACTAAAAACTGCATTCCACTTGGTAAGAATTGTATTTCTGAATTTGTTGTGTTTGTATGGAATTGACCTTTCGTGTGCTAAAGACTTCTTTAAAATAAATGGAAGATTAGAAATTAGTTTCTTTCAAAACAACTTTGAGGTTTGAACATATCAAGATGCACAGAATTTCTCTTGTGCACATATAGCTTCTGTTGATTTAATCTTAAAATTTTCAGTGTAATTTCAGTCGTAAATATTTTCTTAGATGAAGGAAATTCTAATATACACTAGGTGGCAGTAGAAAAAAAGATTATATGGCTTGCTTGGCTTTTGAGGGCCCCAGTCTAGAGCAAAGAACAGCGTTTAATCAAATTGAAAGCTAACTTTCTGTTGCTATTCTGGAGCTAGAATGAAAGTTCCTCTCAGTATATTTCTGTTTATTGCTTCACCAGCAATAAGGGGAGGATGAGGAGCACTGTAAACCTGACTGAGGGTGGAGTAACTGGTTTCAGGGATTTTTTTTTTCCCGCTTTCAATAAGGTGGTTGGAATTAATACTGTCTCTGGATTACTGATAAAAAAATTGGAAAGAGAAAACTTCATTTCTCTTTATTACATCAAACTTATTAGTTATTTGAAAGTCACCTAGTCTTTCTGTAAATTTTGTCAGTTCATAAAGTAATAAGAATAGTACTTCCATGCATCATGCTGAGAGGGCAAACATCTTAGCCTGTGATACAGCTAGATAATAAATAGTAGGGATAATATGCACACAGCTTTTTATAGGGAGGTTATTCTGATCCTTAGGTGAAACCATATGATAAAAGCAGCAGCTTTCTCAAATTTCATGTTACTTAATGCTTCACTTTCAGGAAAGGTCACTAGCAAAATATTGCTAAAGTTGTAGATTAACTCCTATAGCCAAAAATAAGCAAGTAGTAACTGATATTAAGAGCAAAATTACAGATACTGTGATGACATATCTGATCAATCAGCCTCTGACATTGTCCTAGTAAAAAGCAGTTTTTCCTGTGGTTTCAGGAGCAACATAGTTTGTGTTTGATCTGTTAACTTATCACAGATTTCAGTGTTACTTCCTACCTGTTTTCCACAGAAGTGCTTTCAAAGTTAATTTGGCAATCAGAGCAGGTACAGAAGAAGTAAGCATATCAACAGTCTGTTAGTAATGGATGACCTGAGGATCTTAAATGGGGATTGGGAACCAGTTGATCTGGACTGCTAAGTTTGTTCTCACATTTTATTTCAGTCTTATTTCCTTTTCTCTGTTGGTGCTGAAATAATGATACAATTAATTTTCAACAGGTCGACCCTAGCTTTGATGTGCCTGACAAGCAAACACCTGACCCAGTTGTCATCAATATTAGACCAGCTTCATGTATCAGTACTCCTGTAAGTTGCTTTGAAAAAAAGAAAAAGCGTGGGGTATATCTAGCATGTTACAGAAATATGCTTTTACTGTTCATATGAATAAAATAGATTTTTTAGCAATTGTTGAGTACTCAGAGTTCAATATCCTAAATTCTCAACTTAAAGTTTCTGTCACAGTTCCCAAGTCTAACCAGAAGATGGTGTAATAGCAAAGCTTTAAATTTATACCTGTAATTTTACCACTATACTAAGCACAAGTTCTATTTATAAGCCCATGCTAAGTACATCTAAATATTACTGTTAAAATTTGTGGCTTATTCTCAAACACTTTTTGTAACTCTGTCTTTATCTTCAAATAATGGTAACCCTAAACAGTCATTGTCTCACTGATACAATTCTAAAAGTGATGTTTTATTATTCTTTTAAGGCATTTAGTAGTTCCCTAGCAGGAAAAAAAGTAATGCATTTTAAGACAAAAGTGATAGGATTAGAGTCTTCTAGTGTTGGCTTTATATATGACTTTGGTATGGCATGGGGGAGGAGAGAAAGGCAGTGTTTTAGTGGCAGTTTCGTGGGAGGAAAAATATGCTCTCCTGGTATGAAATCTAAAAGACATGCTGTTCTAGAATTAGGTTAAAATGAGAAATTTTCTTTTAGTTCTGAAACTGTTCCTGTGAAGGCACAAATTGTGTCTTGAGCAATTTTAGTTACCGTAAAGAGTTTCTGTGGTTGAAGGGTTAATACTTACAAAAAGGCAGCAGGTGTGGTTTCTGCTATTCTATTTTGACACGAATGCTTTATGAATGCTTTATGAATGCTATGTTGTGAAAGTCCTATATAAAATCCTTTAAGAATTTTTGAAGATCATGGTGCACAGGTTGATGAGAAACCTTTACTTCAAAACAAATAATCAAATAATGACTTGTGTTTGAGAGGTGATAATGTTATATATTTTAAGGTTTATCAGCTGTGTCATGTTTTCACAATGGAGATATGGTTGTTTGTAGACTTACAAACATCTGTTTAGTAGGCTTCACAGACAGTGGATTGTGGTAGATATAATTTATTGACTACCTATCACTTTTAAGTACTCTGTATTCATTACTTACTCTGCTCATCACAGAGTTGAAATGTATGGTTGCACTGTAATTCTTTATTACATACCTACAAATCACTTAGTCTCCATTAATTATTTTGATATGAAAGCAGCTTGTAAAACTTTATGCCTAGAACTCAGAGGAGTACATTGGCACAAAAAGTACAGCATTTTTTTGACTACTGTCTGTCTGGCTTTACAATCTTCATTATAAAAATATTGCTTCAGAATTTATGCTTTTTTGACTGTGTCAGTAATCACTATTTTTTTCCCCCAGCATCTCAATCTACCAGTTATCATTGATTCTCGCTACTGTTGCGTTTCAGCATTCCCTGTCTGTCTTTTTCCATCTAGAACCATTTCTATAAACTTGGTACTTGGACTGTAGCCTTAAGGGCAACTGTCCTGTTGAACACAGGTTAACCCTAACCATGTCACTGTTCACACAAATTCTGGAATCATTTGCATGGTTTCTTTGCCACTAATATCCTTCTTCTTACATAGAGAATAACACTTTCTTCAATTTTGCCAACCAATCTGGTCCTCCCTTCTTTCTAATGTCAGCTCATCCTTTAGAATCATCTTCCTGTCCAGTGTCTGTCATTTGTGGAATTATCACCTGTTTCTTAATCAGGATAGCCATCTAGACTCTTTGTGTCTCGTTTCTAGAGGGTTCTGGATCTCAGTGACCTTTTTATCTGAAGCTTTCTCAGTTTCCCTAATGTATGGAGACTCTGTCTAACAGAGGCTTGATGTGTTCTTCATAAGGAACAAGAAGAAAAGGGAAGATGCTGCCTTTATTTCTATCATACCTTCACCGACAGATTTTCTCTTGATACAGTTTGTCCTCAATTGAATGATACTACTTTTGTGCATTATTTGTATTTTTTCTTAATCATCTTCCAACTTGACATTGCCATCCTCTAGTCTTAGTCTAATTCATCATCCTACCTCATATATATCCCTGATTCCAGTCCCAATGGGTTGCTCTTTTTCTGCGGGTTGTCGAAGACATTATCACTGCATTTTTTTTTCCTTGCAAACATTTCAAACCCATTTGAAATCTGTTTATGGCTTTTTGGCACTATTTCTACGGAAAGAATGCTGTTCAAATAATAACATTTTTTTATCAGATTGTTGGGTTAATTTACACATGTCCTAGCTTATCTTTTTAAGGCCCTGCCTTAAAGGAGTTCTGCCTTTCTCATATGTGCAGAGAGAAAAGTGCAATCTGCATTTAGGTATCTTTACACATTCTTGTTCAATGCATTTATCATGCATGTAACGCATCAGGATCTTAAGAGTTATTTACAAAACATATTGGCAAGTCCCTAGATACTGGAAGTAGCTAATCAACATATTTAATTTTACTACTGAAGGAGAGAGATACTTGACAGTGCTCTGACAAAATGCGAGTCTTTAAATACAACTTTTCTCTGGGGTGAATAACAACATTGAAGCTTTTGTAGGATCTCTGGTGAGTTTTTTAAAGCTTCCTGAAATGCCTTCAGGAAGATTGGAAGTCTGTGCAAAACCTTGTAATGCTTTGTTGAATAACTACCAAATTCCTGACAGTAAGTGGTCAAAAACTTCTGTAGGTCTCAGTCTAGTCCAGGAGAAAGGACAATAGGAGAAAATGCTCTTCTTTTTGATAATCTTTTCTTCAGCTGGAATTGTGCGTGGCATTGTCCTACTCCCTTTATGTGAAATATATTATTACTGCACCAAGATGATTTGTGACAGAGCAAAAAGACTTTTCCTTTCTTCTGTGAAGATTTGTTGATGAAATGATAGAGTATAGCTTGAGAGGGATGTCTGGAGTCATTTCATCTAACCTTCCACTTAAAGCAAGGTCAGCTTAGATCAGGTTCTTATAAGCCTTGTCCTGTTCATTTGTTAATAGTGTGTAAGGATAGAGATTCCACCACCTTTCTTGGCTGCTTATTCTAGTGTTTGGTCAATGAGAATATTTCTTTTTCATAATATGCAGCTAAAATATCCTATGTTCCAACATGCCCATTACCTTCAATTCACAGTGGTCCTCTAATACATGTGTTTGTCTTCTTTCTATTTACCCATTAGATGTCTGAGATGCAGCAGGATTTCCCTGTATCTTTTTCTCTAGAGAACAAACCTGGTTCTCTGCCTTTTCTTGATATCACATGTTCCAGCCCCTTTGTTATCTTGTTCACTCTCAACTCAGCTTGCTCCAGGGTGTCAGTGTATATCTAGGACCAAGAAGCCCAAAAGAAGACACACTAATTAGGGTGCAGCAAAGTATCACCATCATCTATTCTTGACAACAGTCTGCCTAGAGAAGATTTTTAAAACAAATATTTAAAAATAGAACACTCTTGATTCTTTATTGTGAATTTAAAATATATGTTTAGATATTTTCTTAGCAGTTCATTTATATTGAGCTGTAGCTAAGAAAATACCAGTATTATCTCTTCCTCCTACTCCTCCTCCTCTTTTCAAGCAATTTTAATTTCTTGCTTCATCAAAACCAACAATCTATCAGAGCTTCCACACTTTAAACGCCTGCTTTTGTGTTTTTGTTTTTCTTGCTTCAGAGATTAAGATAGGCAGCTACCAATGTTCTTATAGGGATTTTGCTAAAAACACATTAAACTGCCTGTATTGTAAACACCTTTTCAGCTTCTGTTCTAGCTTAGTACTAAGGCCAGTTTTGAACACGGTGAAAAATCTTTTTTCATCTAAGGTTCATATTGATGCAACTTCTTTTGTAAACTCAGTGAAGGGTTTGTAATCCTTGTGTCAGTGGAAAAATTTCACTGAAATTTTCAGTATGGAGTTGGTTTCTTTTGGACTACAGTTACAAAACCATTAAGAATTCCTGTGTATTATTATGGTTAGGAAATGGCTTTGGGTTTGATGATTTATTTATTCAGTTCTCCTGTGTATTATTGAAAGCACTGTAAAAATTAGCTGTGTATGCCTAACAAACTGGTACTTGTCTAATGTCTTGACTTTTTCAATGGTAAGATTCCTCATATGTTGCAGTTACTAGAAGTTAGGTGTGTTCTAGCCTTTTGCACTCTGAAAATATTCACTAAATTTGGGTCAAATTTGGGGGCTGGGAGTGGTGTTTCTTTCTCCTTTCTTTTTCATTGAAGACTCTGAAAGCATTACTGCCTCTCTCCCACCCTTTCTCCTTGTGTCAAGTAGCTTAACATTGCCTTTGTTTTCTGAACTATCGAAAAGGAAAAATTGGAAGTTTTGTTTCTCTTTGGGATTACTTCTTTCTGTTTCGTCCTCTAATTTTAGTTTTAGTCATGAAGGAGGTTGCATCTTTTCAATTCTGTAAGGCAATACACTGGTAACCTCCGGTCCCTGATAAGCTGTTAGAAACAAGGGAAAGTTGATGGTGTCTCTGTAGTTTTTACTGACAGAAGCAGGAAATCACTGTAGAGGCTCTCAAATGTTACATCCCCTGACCTTGCTCATGTAAACAGGATTTGGAGGAAGCAAAGCAATGTACTGTAATCTGGAAGTCAGAATGTCTGTGCCGGCTGGGAGATGTTTGCTGTTCTTTCTCTTCCAGTGCCATTTAACACTAAAAACAAGACATTCTTATTGTTCATTTACAGTACAACTACTACAAAGTTAAGACTGGGTTAATTACTGAGTGAGGAAAGATAAGGATTGTTTCTGTTTGGAGCAAAAAGAACATACTAAGTTTTAAAATAGAAAGTTTATCTGTACTGCATTTGTAGTAAGTGTCTTGAGGTAAAAAGTAGAAGTATCTGTACTCAATTGGTTCTGTACGCATTGCTTTTGATGTTTGTGTTTCGGGGTTTAGGTATTTTTGATACACTTTTCTCTGCCTTTGTTTTGAATAAAAAAAAAGCCCTAAAAAATCCAACCAAGCTCCACACTCAAAAAACACCCCAGGTATTTGGAA